AGAGGAGGGAGAGAGAGAAACGAACCATCGGATCGAGCTCGGATCTCGGATCTCGTATTGCCTAACCCACTCAGCTACTTGTCAATCGCGTCCAATTCGTAGAACTAGGCGAAGGGCGCAAGTTTTCGTGATTATCATGGATTTTGCCTTTGACGATTCTGAAAGGCATTGTGGTCACTGTGGCAAGGTTGTTTCTCCATGCCCTCCCTGTCCTTTATGCAACAAGGGGAAGAGAGGGGAGGAAGAGGAAAAGAGAAGGTTGTGTGATGAAATAGCCGTGGTGCGTTCCCATGGATAGCGGGCTGTCCCAGCGCCGTGGGCAGATGAATCCACTCTTGCTCAGGGTGTCTCTCCTTTGTCCGTCTGGTCTCAACCATGGTTCGACCGGCAGTCACACACGTTCGGTGTTGGCCGGGTGTTGGAGCCGCACTGGACAGGTGGAGTCCGACCCAACACAAGCACTAGGTATGCGGATATGATCGAAATCACCCCTGTGACTATTTAATACTATATGTAAGTAGTAGCTTGCTTGCTTGGTGGAGGGGAGATGACCCGCCGGGTCATCGAATCATTTAAATTATCATTCAGTCTAACACGCGAGATGGGATAGAGGGTTTCCCGCAGCTACGCGTCCCGATCCCAAGGCTGGGAGCTTGGAGGCTTACAGCTAGCGGTGCTGCTGTTGAACATTCCAATGCACTATCTATTCTATTTGCCGACGTGACACGTTACCATTTCCTGGTACTGGCGTTTCTGTGAATTGACGGCGGGTTGTTGTAGAAACCCTTCATACATGGAAAAGTAGGGACCGGCCGTGGCATTATTCGTGGGTGTTGTGTGTGCGGATGTATGCAGGCTCATGGTCGGTCGTCCGTTCCCCCTGCGGACCCCCAAAGCCAAAGCCTTGACGTTGGAGTGCAAGGGTCCGTCGAGAGAGCTGCATTAGCACCGCATACGCCACTAATCACCTGATGGCGCTACCGGCAAATCACCGAAAGAGACTGGGGCACAGACCCAGGTGATGACTTTGATACCAAGTACCTAAGGTGTTGCCGACTTGTAAACCTTGCAGGCAGCGGCGAACAAGAGGAATAAGTGGTGCCAGCATTCTCGCGGAACTGTCCGTGGCACCTACCACGCGCAGGCAGGCGGGCAATCACCGCGCCTAGAAGTAATGACAAATAGAGAAGGGAGCGGACAATAGTAGTCTGGGTCTGGCATGCGCTAGGTTAGGACTGACTGTCTGCGCGCTGCCCAACGATCGACCTTGGCGTCATAAAGGCAATGGTAGCTTCTCTGGACTCAAGATCTCTGAGACATGATTCAAAGGGTACTGCTTCAGATCTGCGACTTGGCTGGCAGGCCCTCACTCACTGTGCTGGGTACAATAACGAGCCTCCCGATGGAGAAATGCAGCGTTACGAGGCGCCCTTGCGGGCGCTCAAATTGCGGCGTCTTGGTAGGCCATCACGTCGGAAAATAATGCGGAGAGATTCCGGCACAGAGATTGGCGCCACGAGGGAGAAATCAACCGGCTGTTGATCCCTGTTTGAGTCCCAGGACGAATAACCCTTGCGATTAATCTAAGCTGTGGATAGGCATGCTTGTCTTTTCACTTGTGCCGCACCACTGCACAGTGCACCATCCTGGTCGTCCGTACCTCATCCTGGGCATTCAAGAAGCTCCAAAAAGAGCCAATAGTAGGCATGATCGAGATGCGCCATTGTTGGGTCCGAGTTTGCTTAGGGTGGTGGGGAGATGTGATAAGAGTCCGACCTTGTGGCCTCAGGGCGGCCGTGTCGCAGAGTTGGACCATGGTAGCATCCTGGTCCACCAGAATGTGCCAGCCAATGCGCACTGCTTGGGTAATGACCGGAACAGCGCCGCAGGACCAGTCCTTCGGCCTAGGAGAAGGGAGAACCAGATTGCTGGGACAGTTAAACCCAAAGCGGTGTGCCCACCGTCTGTGCCGGTTAACCTAGGGGTCATGACCTCTGCTGGTGGTTCTCTTCCTCAACGTGGCATAGTCAAATAGACCCAGTAGCAGGGTGATGCCGAGAGTCTCTAGAATGAGGCATTGCTGAAATTGATTGAGAGCATAGGATGAATTGTCGTTGATGATGTTGATGGAAGGCGGTCGGTCACATTGCCCTCAGAACACGTGATAGCCACCGGACCGCCGAGAAACTGCCGAACGATTTCCCTCCCGATCATCGATCGGCTTGACTCTTCCGACTTACTCGTACTGAGTAAGTTAACTTACGTACCCCGTACTAACTAGTCGCCGCACTTCCAACCTTGAACCATCTCATCTCATCAGCCTAGTCCGCCCTTGCCGTCGTACCTGCTCTGCATCTCTTTCCTTGTATAGAGACCGCTTTCCGCACATGTGATGTCCATTGAAGTTGACTGGGGCACAGCGACCTCGGGTCCGGACGGCGAGGCTCTGGCTGAGCGCATTCGCTCCTTCATCCATGACAAGTTCCAGCAGGTAGCTCTTCCGCGATTTATCCGATCCGTTCAGGTCCATTCGTTTGACTTCGGAACCATCCCACCGGAGCTCGAGATCAAGGACTTCTGTGAACCCTTCGCCGATTTCTATGAAGAGGATGAAGACGATGAGGCTTCCGACGTGTCTGAGGAGCTTGTCTCCGGACATGGCACTCAGTGGCATCGCACCGGCTCAGAGCTCAGCGAGCCGCCGTTCCGAGATGAAAACGCCATGCATCAACCGCTTCGCAACCCATTCGATGAGCGGTTTCAGCCATCCGCTCTGCGTTCCCCGATAGCTCTCGGTGACCATCTCAACCCGCACTTCCTTCCTCGCGCCGGCACTCCTGGTATTCCCGGAGGAACGTCAACACTGGGCTATCACCTGATGTCTTTGGGTGGCCTATCAGGAACACAGACGCCTCTGGCTGCGGTTGCCGGCGGAAACCCGTTCGCAAACAGCTGGAATGATCCGAGCAGCATGGGCGCAAGGAGCAGAGGGCCCCTGTCATCCTCACCCTTCGATGCAGTGCATTCGCAACATCCCGAAGCCGACCTAGACAGCAGCAATCCAACCTCACGCCCATCGACATCAAGCACGCTCCCCTCGCACCCGGGTGGTTCTAGCAACGGCGGTGGAGAAGCAGGAGCAGCAGCAGGAGGTAGTAGCAGCCACATGGCACGCACACAGGAGAACGGACACCTTGGCGACTCCGCATCGGCGGAACCTCTTCGGCTGCCTCGACTGCGAGAACGCCGGCCCGAAGATTTGCAGGTTCTGTGCCATGTCAAATATGGAGGGGACGTGCGCCTGTCGCTGACTGCGGAGATCCTTCTGGACTATCCTATGCCTAGTTTCGTGGGCTTGCCCCTGAAATTGAATGTTACTGGCATAACCTTCGATGGCGTCGCGGTAATCGCACACATCCGCAAGCGGGTGCATTTTTGTTTCCTATCCCCCGAGGATGCCGACGCGTTGATCGGATCCGATCAGCAAGATGCCGCAGGAGGGCAGGAAGACAAACCACGGGCTGAGCAAACCAAACGTCATGGAGGATTACTGGAGGAAATCCGGGTGGAAAGTGAAATTGGCCGCAAGGAGGATGGAAAGCAGGTCCTGAAGAACGTTGGCAAGGTCGAGCGGTTTGTTCTGGCGCAAGTGCGACGAATTTTCGAGGAGGAGTTTGTCTATCCGAGTTTCTGGACTTTCTTAGTATGAGTATGAATGAGCTCAGATGCTCCCAGTTTTCACACGAATTAACACAACAGCAGTGAGTGGTTTGAAATGTCGCTCTGCTGTCCACCGAGCTGGGTCTCGGCACACGCAGAGGGCAACGCAGATGCAACACTGCACTAGCGATAGCTTGTGAATAAGGAACTCCCAAGGATAGACAATTCATTCAGAAGAAAGGCAACGAATAGGCCCCTACTGTCCTTCGACTGCTTGTCTGATTGTTTTCAGCCACGACGCGTTTGATTTTCTCTTTTGCATGTTGGGGTTTGAGTGAGTCTATTAGAGAAAGCGCACTGCTGCAGCGATGGGCCACTCTAACACCTCAGGCTTCGATCTCCCCAGGCAACATCGGTTGCTCTACAGCGGAAGCTTCCAGTAATTGAAGTGAGAAACATCCCGTTATGGCGTGTCCTTGTCTGATACAAATGGATCATATATACCCCATAGATTAGGCATTCATTTCACCTTGCGCGAACGCGGCAACGATTACCTTTCCCCACTTGATAGGCAAGTACATAATACTAGAGAGAAAGATCCGTAGTGGTATGAGAGAAATAAATATTCTTGGGCCTGGTCTGCTGACAACATGATATTCACTGAGATTTTGGGGGCGAAATGGCACGCAAGGACCACATCTCTAGGGCAGTTGCAGAGCCTTGAAGGAACAGAGGATGGTCAATGCAGGCCAAGCGCTACTTTCCCATCTAAATCAACCATTGTCATTGAACTCGTTCTCATGTGGTACTAGGTAGCACGTAGGACACGCGCTACCGCCAATAATTTGAGTTTGGTCCTTTCTGAGACTTACGCGTGGGAAAAACTGGTTCCAGAGAAAATAACCTTCAAATCCTCCCCAACCTCATTGTAATTATAACAACAAAATCATACTATGCCCCTACACTCATGGGGACCTCCTTTGCTTCGGCACACGATGCGCACGACTGACCACTCAGCCAGGAACAATGATGACAGACCTTCGAAAAAGATAAAATGCCACTTCGCTCAGCTTTCACAGTTTGAATCTCCTAAATGTCGAAATCGAAGAAAACGTAATCAGGCAAGGCCCCCACCAGAGATGCAAAGGATGAGTATCAAGACGTCTCGCAGAGCAAAGCGCTTCCTAACTGCTTGTGTTTCCCATCCTGCCCCTCATCTATCCCCACTTATCTCCCATCTCCCTGATTTTGACCTCCAATCTTCCAGCAAATTTGCAATACACTCATCGGCAAGAAAGCATTGGGACTGTTGCACGTTGCGATTGCGCCTTGTCCTTCGCTTACAGATCCTTCTTGGGAGCGACATCCTTGTTGCCAGCGGAGACCTGGTCACCCAGCTTATGGTACTCAGCCGTGAGACCCTCGCACTGCTTCTTCAAAGTCTCGATGTCACGATCCTTAGCCTCGAGCTCCTGCTTGAGACGGCCGATCTCGCCGACATCGCCGGCCTGCGCGAGACGAGCGGAGTCCTTGCCACCAGCGCGCTTGTCACCCTCCAGAAGCTTGACGCGGTCCTCCAGGCGAAGAACCTCAAGGATCATGGTGTAGGTGCGGTTGAGGATGAGAGACAGGAAGAGAGTGAAGCCGCACAGGTACATGTTGCGCTGCGAGTAGAACTTGCGGGCCTGGACTTCCATACGGTCTGTGCCAAGGGCGGCGGCTCTGGTTAAATAAGGGTGTTAGCTCGTCTGCTGTGAGCCGACGAAGAGGCTTGAGCCTGATACATACCCCATAGGACCGCCCTCCTTGAAAGAAGCTAACTCTAACTGCACCCGATAGACGCGGTTGACGCTGTCAATGAAGAGGATGAGGATGAAGATGAATGTGATCTAAGTTTAGTCTTAGCTTAAATCGCTCGCTACTGAGCATGGTGTAAGGGCCAGGGCACACTTACCTTCAGCCCATATTGTAATTTGGCCACTATAGGACTTTCTGAGATGAAGGCAAAGAGCTTCCTCTTAACGGTGAACGGAAGAGGAATGATGAGGCCCATGAAGACCGCCATCTCGAACACCAAAAGGCAGAAGACCTATATACATCCAGTAAGCATTCATCGTGGAAAAGCCGGTCTTGGAGTCTGGGAGGAGCGCCGCGCGCCGATGGCCAAGGGGCTGCAGGCTGCAGCATTATCCCGAGCTCATAAAATGTCCACGGGGAGGACAATCTGGGCAACAACACTTACAAGACTATAGTAGAGAGTCATTTTGTATAGGTTGATGAAACAGTTGCGCTGATACTGATTGTGGTTAGATGTTGTGCCTGACGCTTCGTTCAAGCTTGATTGAGATTGAGGGGTGAGGGTGCGATGGGTAGCAAGGCAGGATAAACAAAAGCTGTCGGAGCGACTTGATACCGTAGAATTTTCAAAGACAAATAAGTCCACAGATAGCCGGGATAAAGACCCCTGATATAGTCACCAATTGACCGATGCTTGTGAAGAAGAGGAAGATTGTCTGTTGTGTGTACGGGGGATGAGGTGGTCTTTTTGCAGTTTCTGGTGAGGGACAGACGTCATCACCGCCCGGAGCTGAGGCGCGGCACGTGACCAGCCCCGTTTGCTGGATAGGGCCGGTCCAAGTGCGTCATAGCTGGCCTAAAATAACCCCCAAGTTTACCCCTAAGGTTTGAAACCGGCTAAGTCTGGATATGCCAGTGGCAGTATGTACAAGGTGTTCACATTTGTTCAAGCTTGGTCTAGGCGCTACATGAGATCTAACCCTCCGCTTCGTCATATGAATTGGACTTGTGCTTCGGCTCGAACTTGAAGTCCTTGTGTGCAGGACCGAGGAACATTTCCCTATAGTGATAGGTTAGAATCATTTTAAGGTTACCACGAACCTGACAGCCAGCAATGGATGTACTTACGTGATCTTGATCCAATCCTTGTAGTTGGTACTCGCCATCAAGGTCTCCATGTCATCTCTGCCCCGGAAAGCCGGAGGTCTGTCGTTGATCTGGGGTGGGAGATATTCGAGCAGACCGAGAGGCACGTATCGCCGGGCAAAGCTCAGCCATTCCAGCAAGAAGCGTCTAGTCGTGCCAACACCATGCTCATCGGATCCCCAAGTCTCGAGACCATACTTGGCGAACTTCTCGATGTATGTAAGACGCTCGCTTGAGGACTTGTCAAGGTATTGGCCAGCCTGGATCTCCTCATAGAGCCAAGGCTTGATTAGAGCCCCGCGGCCAATCATGACAGTGTCGACGCCCGCATTGTTAATATGCTCATCGTAGTCAATGTGAGAGTAGCAGTCACCATTGCCGAGGAACCAGACTTTCCCACCGTTGGGCTGCGTGCGAGCATCGGGCTCCCGGATGGTGTCGGCAAGTTCGTCCTGCTTCTCATTCAGTCGCTTGATAAGAGCGGCGCACTCGGAGATATACTCCCAATTGGCCGATTTGGTGTACCGCTGCTGTCGGCTCCGCCCGTGAAGAGTGATAGCGGCCGCTCCCGCACCGCCGCCGCCAAATAGATGAGACTCGTAGCCTCCAAGCAGAAGGCGTTCGGTCAACTTCAAAGCATTGGGAGAGTTGTCTTTGGTACCCATACGGATCTTGACGGTGACGGGAATTTCGCCGGAAACGGTGTTCATGCCACGAATGATCTTCTCGAGCTTGGACGGATGCTCGAGAAGAGCAGAGCCAGCACCTTCACGGAAGACAAGGTCGATAGGGCAGCCGCAGTTCAGATCAATGAGACGTAGGTGAGGGGTCATTTGCGACAGGGCCTCTGTGGCCTTGAAAGCTTGCCAGGGCTTGTTAGCCGCAATCTGAGCACCAAACTTCATATCCTTCGAGTTGTCGTAGTCCTGCACAATTTCCGACCCAGGAAAAACCGTCGGGGGAGCAATTTCCGACTCGTGCGCCTTCATCAGAGCCCACTCTGACTTCTGCCCCTGGATCAATGGCAGACTCATGGCCATCTCCGAATAAGTAAGCTGCGCGCCAAGCTCCACACAGAGTCTGCGAAAGGGCATGTTACCCTGTGTCGTCAAGGGAGCCAAGGCCGGGGTCTCGGGACCAAAATAGAGCCTGCGCTTCTCAGACGGAAGCAAAGGAGGCTCAACGTAGGCGGCGCGGTTGTCCTCCTGCTCTTCCTTGGTACCATCCTCCACCTCGGTGGTCCCAACCCGATCGCGCTTGTGGAGATCCTTCTCGATGGCCCTGTTCGTCTTTTCCAACCAATTCGAATACGCCTCTGCCTTGGGGAGATGCTTCTTCTTCCGGGCCAGCGCAAGCTTATCGTCCATGGCGGCGATATTCAACACGCCTTCTTCCGAAGCCTGGGAGACCAGCCGCTGCACCTTGTTCTTGCGCTCTTCATCTTCGATCAGAACCAGCTCTTTTCTCCCGTCCTCAGTCTCCCGCTCCTCAGAGTGCGAGCCCACGAACCGACACTTCCAGCCGGAGAAGCACTTTCCATGAGTATCCCATACCGGACAAACGCCATTCATGGTGTTCAGATCCTCCCGCTTATGCTCTTTGAGGTAGATGCGCAGGTCGTGCTCGAATCGACATTTCTCGCCGAAGCTGCACTCGGCGGGAGAGAACTCGGGCTGGAACATGCGGCTCGGGCAGAGACCCTTTGCATCCTCCGACCGGCCAAAGGTCCGGTTAGTGTTCTGGCCGGTCTTCTTCTTGTTCTTCTTCTGCTGGTACTGGTGGGCCTTCATCTCGGTGTTGTTGTTGCTGTTGCGGCCATCGTGGTGGGCGGCCTCGGCGGCATCGTCCTGATTCTCTTGCTCGGCGGTGGGCTGGCTCTTATCGGATCGCGGCAAAAGGTACCTGAATTTGAAGATCAGTGACCGTTGGGTGAATCGGCTCGAAAAAAAATTGCGGCGGGTCGCATACTCAGCCTTGATCGGAGCGACACCCTTGAGCCGCGGGTCGGCCTCAGCAGCTGCAGGTGCAAGTGCATTGGTACTCGGCGCATCGTCTAGCTTGACCTTCTTGGAGGGAGGCTCCTGAGTGCTGTCGGCAGCATCGTGCGAGTGCACATGCTCCTGAATAGACGCGGGGTCCATGATAGCTGGGTAAATTCTGCACAAAGTGAGGGGGATAATTAACAGTGGACACAAAAAAAAGATCCGTGCCTGGAATTCTGGGGGTGTTGAACTCCGTCTCGAGCGCAGCCGCTTCCAAAGGCGGCCGGGGAAAATCTCCATACTGCGGGCAGAAAAATTGAAGAGCCCACTTTGCAGTGTTTGCATCGCGTGTCGTTGTTCCTATTGGCTCGACCCAAATAGTATATCTGACCAGGCACGTGAGGCAAAAAAAAAAGAAAGACAAAGAAAAAGACGCACGATGATACTACTAGATACATATGTATGTACATGTGCATTAGATAGAAGGAGTAAGAAGCGCTTGTGGCGTGGAATTGTAGCTAGCATGCTATTATGGCCTCAGCTCAAGCGCGAGAGCGCAAGCGCACAGCTGCGATTTCAGCCAGCTGAGCACTGGCAGCAATACGCATAAGCGGCACAGCTGTGTCTTCAGCCTCGAAGTACTCCGTACTGCTAAGAGCCATAGTATAGACGGACTAAATTGTCAGAGTTCTCGAAGCGCTGCATAATGTCAACCAAATGCTTGCCACGTCTCAAACATAGACGATCGGGGAGTTTCCTGACTTTTGTCTATGCTGCATTGAGCCAAGCTTGTGTAGCGAACCGCTGGGAATCAAAAAGTCGCCACCGAGAACATCAGGTCCAAGAGCCTCAACTCATTCTACAAGTGTATTGCGATGTAGAAAAGATACGGCGAAACACTCAGCCCAGCATGATGTTGCTACATGTATCTGTTCTGATGGTACATTTTCACCCTCCGCTTCAGTCATGATCTATCACCGAACATCCAAAGCTCACAAAGATCGACATCATATGCATTTGCCCCGATGATACAACATCTGCACGAAGACAGAAAAGGACACACTAAAGCAAGGTACCTATCTAGTCATAGACTTACGAGTATTAGCATGACAAACTAATCTAGAAGCAGTCTAGATCTTGCAGCAAGATCACTACCTCCGATGAATCCGATCTCTCCATTTCTCGAACGCATTGCACATGCCGAGCGAACTACTGAACTTGTCCGAGATTCGACCCTGATCGACTCAGTTGGGCGGCGAGCATATCTCCAGCTCAACTCGGCCCGGCTCAGCTTAGGCCACATCTACGTAGTTCCTAGTACACAAATTCGGTTTATTCTGACACAACTGTTCTTTCCTCGCACCGAGGTCGTTAAAGCCCACCAGCGGAGTAGAAGGATGGGAAGGAGGGGAAAAAAAAAATACACGGTTCCGCTTGGCGAAGGGGGGATCCACCGAGCTCAAACCTACGATTCGCTTGTCACATTTTCGGGTTGTTTTCTAGAAGAACTCAATTATAGGGTCGATGGTCGCTTAGCCGAGCTGCGAAAGTATGGTATTCTACTCCGCGGTCTGTACCATGCGCAAAGCCAAAGGGGGGGGGGGGGGGGAAGGCGAATTAAGATGCGCACTGGATCGTCTTATTTGGAGATATCGGAATGACAGATCGACTGTCTAATGTGTTCTGTCAGGATCTTTGCATCCGGAGTACCGGTATCAGATGTTAGAGATTAAGGACACGGGAAAATGGAAGGTAAAAGGTCACCATTCAAGCCGCTACCCATATGGGAAATCGACAAAGCGCAATATCTCTCACATAGACATCAGATTCCCTCCGATCAGACAGACAGACGAGAACATCGAACTACAGGCACATGATTAGGCTCACGGAATGTGAAGATGTGAAGTGGCAAAAGTCCACAATCACAACCCCGCGAGGGAACATCCCAATAATGAGAGTTCGTTGCCGCTAATTTCCGGCCATGAGAATCTAGTTAGTTGTCCTTTACTCTCTTGGCGAGGAATAGTTGATCAGTCAAGATGTGCATACCTTGCAATAGTGAGAACGAAGCGTGCCTGCGTCGGCTAATTCCCAAGGACTCAGGGTATACAGTACATGGAGTACATGAAGGTATGCTGTGTAGTACGAGTAGATCTGGCTTGCCAAAAGTACCCTTTTTTTAGTGCGAGAATCTGGAGTACGTGTCTCAGCGAACCCGGCGATCTGATCTGTCCACATGAGCCTTTCCCCGTGCATGATACAGTTGGCTACATACCGGTACTTCTTTAGCCAGGGGCAACTGCAGGGCTTGAATTATTGGCTATGGGCGCAGAGATGCGGGCCAGGTCGGGGTTGACTTCCAGCCATTCAGTGGATAAGATGGGGAGCAGTACTTAGATTGTACATAGTACTGGGTAAGTATATATGAAGAATGAATGAAGAATGGAAGAGAGGAGGATGCTTTCCGCCGCATGCAGCTTCCTCTTATTGGGTTGCGGTGGTAGGTTGCTGGGGCGGAGGTCGATGGTTCATACTACCACATGGCATAGACAACACCCGCCCGCAGGATCGTTATTTGGTCTGTATCATTGCTGAGGTTCCTGTTTAATTGCCATAGCATCTGAACTACGGTATCATGATCTACCGTCGTTGATCGATTGTGTGGTTTTTGAGACTTTGGCTGAAGCGGCTGATGCTCGCTCCAAGGAATTCCTTTCGCGAAAGCTGGCATCATGATAGATGTGGCCGTTCCATCAGGCATGATAATCTCGGGCGAGAGAGGTTGAAAAGCCATCACCAAGAGATAGGTCAGTCGAGCTGCCCAGTGTGTACTGTACTATACTTGACCTACCTATAGACTAACGTAGAGCGGTGGAATTTACCGCTAGCAGGGATGCTTCCATGATCTTTCTAGCGCCAAAGCCAAGAATCCGACTCAAGTCCCCTGATCGTTCACCTGATCGCATGATCTTTGGAGATGTTGAGAGGACGGCTGGGGTAGACGAATTATACTTTCGTCTATCTGGCTTGCGCAGGGATCGGCGCTCGGGGAAAAGGGGGTAGATTACCTCGTTTGCTACAACGTAAATTGAGGTACGTATCATGATCTAGTCTGACGGTCTAGGTAAAAGATCCGGCATATGAGAGACTTCGGCTGAAGGGTCAACCTGGGGCGTAGCAAGTGTTCGCTGTATTTACCCGCGGTGTCCCATAGCAACAACACGGACTCGAGGCACATGGAGGTGGAGTACAGTACAATACTCCCGGGATGGCCTAGTCGGGATCCGGAGGACATGCAGGTGGCTGGAAGCACTTTTCTGCGTCAAAAAGAGCTTACTTGGAAGCTGCAAGTGAGGCCTTATGTATCCTGTGGAGATGATGCGCGGTAAGGCAATTGATCTGTAATGACCAGAACCGCAACCATTACGTCGGGCTTGGTATTCATGAATAGGTCATGTCCTGAGTACGACATTAGTCCCATGCGTCTCCAGAACCTCCTGCAATTAACCGCGAGCATTGCATACAGAACTCCTTGGCAGACCAATAAAGACATCATATCTACTGCTCACACTCGAGTATAATGAGTCCTCTGCCTTCCGAGTTCCCAGCACATGATCGGATCTGATGAAGGCCCGGCAAGCAGGGCAATTGGCGCCCTAACGCTAGCAGTAGTGGTCTGTACAGCGACCGGCCACCGCTCCACTCGGCTGGAGAGTTGGACGCTTAGAATAATGAGAATGAGAGTGAGAATGCGGACGGGCGTACAGACCGCTGATTCTGCTAATTCTCCGTGGTTGTAGCTAGTGCTCCGTAGTAGGCAGAAAGTGAGGCTACATTGATGTCATCGAGTACAGGGTTGGCCAATGCTGATGATCAGAGAGGGGGGCGATAACGCGGCCGTGCTTGATGCTTATCGTCATCTCGGCCGCATTACCGCTATAATGTAAGTGGAAGTAACTGTACACAGTAGAGTAGATCTCAGCGGGTGAAGGTGGGTGTGAGTGCAATCAATGCCCGACGTAGCGCATACTGTCCTGGAGATATCCCGACAGACCGCTTTATACGCTGTACGTGTATAGCTGACACCAAGGATATGGGAGCTAGGTTGGGGTTGACACTACGAGTCAAATTCGTCTCTCGGTACATGAACCCCTGGAGTGCCTCCGAGACAAGCAAAATGACCAAACGCTGAATTTCAGGGCCTTGTGGGGAAGTAGTTGGTCGATGACCAACCCCGAGTCGGGAGATGTCGAGACCATCAGATTGGCGAGAGGGGGAGGAGGAAGAGGGGAATGACTCCTTCTCGGGGACTTCTGACACCGCCAGATCCATTCTGAGACAATCTCTCGATGGAGTAAATTGTTCTAGCGTAAAGGAGGAGTGCTAGCCAATAAGTCTTGGGGATGCAGTGGTGATAGAAGAACAAGTATTTGCCCAGTGGAAGTAAAGCTCAGGCGGAGCAGCGAAAGAAGGAAGACATGTGAGAACGACCCATGGGATGATTTGTCCTTCGATCCGGATCTACCCTCTGTCCGAGGAATCATCCTGCCTGACCACCTCTAGGAGTTAAGTAATTGTTCAAGCTGGGATGGAAGCGTGTGGTGGGTATGTGCGTGTGTATATGTCTAGTCCAGTATATTGTTGTGTCTGTGTGTTGCAAGGACAACGCAGTTGGCGACCAACAATAACAGCAGCAGCAATCAAGCAGTCAATCAATCAATCATCATCAATGCTCCTTGGCGGCTACGGAGCACAGGGCGATGGACCGCCTGTCTGTGTATAGACGTGGTAATACCACCGGGATTCACTGTGGGGATAGCGTTCAATACGATTGCGTTACAAGGGTGACGCCCCTCTGGATCTCCTGCAGCAGTCGCGGCAGCTTTCCACCAGTCCAGCGCCGTCATCAGCATCATCGACTTTTCGAAGAAGCGCTAGCGCGGCCACTAAACTGCAAGCGGTGTCAATTTTATTGCCTGCTAACGGTCCCACTCGTAGGTTAGGTAGTCTAGTAGCATTAGGTAGGTTCCTACACTTCCCTAAACTATGAAAAGTACGAACGCTGTTGGTGGTTTGCTCAGATGGATCTTAAAGCTATTAGATTCAACAATTTTTTTTTTCTTTTGTTTCAGTGATTTCGCTCAGCTGGCTCTCCACAGAACTTCGTCCGATGGGTCGATCACTATTTCGAACATGGGCAACGAAGGGACTACGTACTAATGAACGCGGCGGTGGCACCCAGCGGGTTCCCTGACTAATGCTTCTGCCCTGTCAGTCTTCCAGTTTCAAGTGAGAGAGTGTTTCATGGGCGGACCGGCGGGGAAAGGAATGGGTTCAGCACCTGCAGTAACTAACTATGGGAAGGGCTGATGAGTGATGAGTGATGACTGATGGGCGGATCGGGGGCAAATGAAGTTAGTCCTCTATGAGTGTATGAGTGTATGAATCATCCCGAGAGGTCGAGTCACCGTTACGGTATGCGGTAATTCACCTGTAATGTATGTATCTTACCACTAGAAACGAGCTCCCACCCCTTTGGCCGCCAGTTGCCAAACTCCTTGGCCTGCAGTTGATTCACCTTGCTGTCTCATCTTTCTTTTTACCTACTAAGTAACTGACTGTCTCTCGCTCACTCTCCGTCTCTGTCTTTCTCCCTTTCCCCTCTCTCTTCCCTTAGGTCTCTGGTGCTGCAGGTTGTGCTACTTCTTATTATTAACTTACTATCTAACTTATCTCCCTTTTCTCCCTTCCCAGCTTCGTTCTTTTTACTTCTATCTACTATTGTATTTGCTTGCCCTGAACCGGCGGGCAATCCATACTCCACTTCGAAACTACTCCTCCCACTGCAATAATAATTACTTACTTACTGCCGAGTGATTGTTACGTCCCGCCACCTTTCCCGAATCCGTCACTGTTCCGCAGCCAAAGCGGGCCAACATCCGAGGGGGAAAGAGTGGAAACCGCTGCTCTTCTTGTCTTGGACTCTTTCTGTGAACCCGCCCAAAACCGTCTTTCTAGTCTAAACCATCATCCTTCTTCCATCAACTTCTTCTTCTTCATGCTCGGTTCGTCCGAAGCGACGCATAGTCCTCTTCCCTCTCTTCATCACTCTCCCTCCGTTGTTGGGGATCACGATCGCGCCTCTACTCGGGATTCCACCCCCGTTACCACTCCCCTCGGGTTTGGCCCATCGCTGCGCAGACCGGATAAGGAAAAGGTCTCGGATCTGCCGTGGGCTGAAGACTCCCTCGACTTCGACTTCAGCGACGTTCATTCACCGTATTTTGACGCTCGAAAATTGCACCCTCCTTTCCACCAAGACCTCGACTTTCCTCTTTTCCCTTCATCACCTCCTCCGACCACATTCACCACAACGCCCACCACCACCACCACCATGACCGGTGCCGCTCCCATCGATATCGCCACCCGCCAGAGCTCTGTCTCCCCTCCGGGACAGCAGGCTTCGAACCTCACCTCAGCTTTACAACGAGCGAACAATGTAGACCGAACACCTAGCTTCTCCCATGCGAATGGCGTCGGACTCAGCGTCTTCAAGGCCCCCCCTCCTCGCAAGGACTCGATCGGAGCAGCTACCGCACAATGGGGCAACGGAACGAAACCGATTTCAATGTCTGGATCTAATCGTGATAACCCCCGGCGGGAGTCATTAGCAGGAAGCTTAGTTGGTGGAATGAGTTGGGGTGGAGTGTCTGTCGGAAGCTGGATTCGTGATGAGTGCGTGCCACCTTATTTTTTTTCCGTAACCCCCTCAATCAGGCTGATATCATATATCCCTTTGCTTGCGCCCGAACACCGGGTGAAATTCGGGCTTAACAAGCAACTTCTGATGACTGCGATGCTGACGCTCGATGACCTAGTATTATTATGACCGGCACGTCTCCGTTCACTTTTCAGTCGCCCTCGTTCCATTCTTCTTCATACTTGCCGAAACTGGAAGCGAACTTCATGCGCGATTTCTCCTGCTGCGGGGTGACACTCCCGACACTCCACGATCTATTACAGCATTATGAAGAAGCCCATGCCACCAAATCACCCCACCAAGGCCATCGCCCCAGTCAAGGTGATGGCAGAGCAGCTATGGCTGCGGCCGTGATGGCGCAACAGCAAAACCAACAGATTCCCAACCAAGCTCGCGGGCTACAACCGGATCGAACCATGGATATGCAGCGAAAATTGAACCAGACGCCACAAATTCCGCAGCATTCCGATCTGGACACAATCGATGATATGGAGCTGGACGATACAATCGGCGACGGAAGTGATGCCGCCTCACAACTGTTCTCCCCTCAGGTGCGCGATGGAGGCCAAGGAGGATTCGGAAATGGCAACCAAAGAGTCCCGCATCTGAACCTGTCCATGCTTCCCGGTCACCAGGGCTTCAAGGGCTCACAGCCTGGAACGCCTGTCGCTTCCGGACGACCCCTTTCGCTGCAGAACAACCCTACCGTTTCGTCTGTCAATACACCTACTTTGATGGCAAACCCGCTTCAGAACTCGCAGTTCCGAACAACCCCCGATTCTTCCGCTCCCGGCACGCCGGCTGAACTCGACGAGAGTATGATTGGTGGCTTTGGCGATTTGAATATGCAGAACCCTATGATGCAAGGTCAACCGCAATTTGGCCGGTTCACTGGTAACAGCGACATGGTCGATCTGTGCATTGACGAGCCAGCTAAGCGGCTATTTAGCCCTACTGGTGGTCTCAACACTCCCAATGCTCATTTTAAGCTCAGCGGTGCTCAGTACGGTCCGAATAGCGAGATTGCTCGGCGGATCCGTGAGCAGCAACTGCTGGCAGGTGTGCCTGATACTACCGCTCTTCTGCCTAATGAGGAGCCCAAGCCTTTCCGATGTCCTGTTATTGGCTGTGAGAAGGCATACAAGAATCAGAACGGCCTGAAATACCACAAAGCAGTATGTCTTTTCTCATCTATACTCATTCTTTTCAGGCTCGTAGGCTAACTTGACTCTCCTCAGCACGGCCACAACAACCAGCAGTTACATGACAATGCGGATGGAACCTTCTCAATCGTCAATCCTGAGACCTCGGCCCCTTACCCCGGTACCCTTGGCATGGAGAAAGAGAAGCCCTATCGCTGTGAGGTTTGTGGCAAGCGCTACAAGAACCTCAATGGCTTGAAGTATCACAAATCGCATTCCCCGCCTTGCAACCCTGACTTCCAGCTTGCTGCAGGTCGTAATCTGGCGTTCGGCGGGGGTGTCATGCAGGGGCAAAATATCAACGTTGCTGGGGCTGGCCTACCTGGCATCGGTGAGGAGGGCTTGCTCTAAGACGATAGCTGCGCTGCCTTCAGTCCCGCTCAACAACCAAAAAGCAAAAAAGCAATACGAAGATAGCGACGTGTTCTCTTTTGAAATCTCATTATTCCCCCATTAATTTCGACTCGACGGATTTTGTTTTATGGCCGTCGTCGCGCGCGGAAAATACGATTTAATGACCGGTATGGTGGCTTGGAGTTAATGGTATGAAACGTCTCACGTCTGTCAATAAGTCAGCCGCGGTTTGGGAGACGACCGTGCTTTGATCTAGTCTTAGATCAGTCTCAAAATATTTCCCTTCCTTTTGAAAGACATTCCTGGAAAGAATTATCTCTCTCCCCCTTCTTATCCCAATGACTCTTGTCAGCCGGTTTGTGAATCGGTATGAAATGTTTTCCTTCTCGGTCTTGATTGTATTGCTGTTTGGAGTTTGTGTTGCTTCTTTTCAATGGGTCTGCTTTTTTTTTTGATTGCTTGGGGTCCAAAAGAAAAACATGCAGAACTTTTGTTGTTTCTTATTTATCTCCTCTTCTTTTTTTTGCTTTCTCCCTTTTTCGTTCAGATCCACGCTACATTCCCCTTGTTGCTTATATCGTTATGCGGTCCATTCTTCTGGGTTATACTATAATTGAGAAAGAACTGGCAAGACAAAATTCCATTCTTATATAAACCTTCTCCGTCTTTTATCCCCAATACAATGAAAAGATGATACCAGAGACCGGACTTCTCGTTCTAGAGGAGAGACACAACAGTCGAGTAAGGGGACAGAGATAAGTTGGCTGTAGTAGGAGTCGTTTAAATGAACCTGTATGAGAGGTCTATTTTCCTTCTAGGCACTCTTTCCCACCCCTCCAACTTGTAAACATTCCTCGATACATCATCGAGACATCCGAGAAGGAAAAGCAAGGAAGAAGGCTAACCTAGGCGAATCCATAGACGCAACCTCCCCCCCCGCCACCTTCGGCCACCACCCCCAGCGAACCACTCAGAACTATTCAATAGTCACATTGATGAAATGCTTGCTACAACTACCTACTAAGGGCTGTACGGTCTACTGCTGCTTTTGCAAGAGCAGCATGTTGCTAGGGTTTCCCAGCCACTTGAGTAGATTACTGAGCAGTATCGCTAAGTAGTTACGCTCCGCGCGAGTCAGCAGCCAGCGGTCAGCATCTCAGCACTCACCAACTAATAGTTGCCATCACCACCACCGCCACCAGAAGAAAAAGATATCCGACTTGCCTGTCTCTTTATGAACTGCATGTACCTCTTACGGGGCTCAGGGCTGTACATCCGAGGGAATCACACACAACAAGTTGGATAGACGTTGGCCGTGGCCACTTTTGGCGGCATGCACGCAGTCGTAAGCCCGGCCTTCTGGTTAATTACTTAGATCTTTGGTGGGGTTACTACGTTGGGGCACCGCTGCGCAGCAATTCATTAAAAAAGATACACATACGAGATAGGAACGTCATATTCATTCGACTTGAGGTAATCTAGTACATGATCCCGATGAGAAACAAGCATGGAAGCAAGAAAGGGGGAAGAAGTGAAACGAAAAGAGCAAAGAGACTGCCGTCCACCTGAACAAGCGCCACGATACATCCAAAGTGGAACGAAGGAAAGAAAGAAACTAAGAAGAATTGACACCCGAGATGGAGGGAATCCATCCATCCCTTCCAGTAGTAGAGTAGTATGTAGTAAGGTTGTTACGTATGTCATGGGAAAGGTCACTTTGGACTGACCAACTCCCCGAACGCGTGGAATGGGCTGATTCTTCATCATAAATTGGTGTCATAACTGGTTTTCTACATCAAAGATGGCAGGAGAAATAGGCGAAGCACCGGGGAATTAGGAAAAAGAAACAGGAGACGCATGAGCAGGACATGTTCTTGAGCTTGGCGATCTGATTCGTAACTTGGGCCTACCATTCGAATTCGCCTTGGCCTTTGTGGAAGACATATCTAAAACTAGTTAGCCGAGATCAACCCTCCAGATGAGACCGATCACTCACTCTTTGCCTCCAGTGGTCAGGATGCCGTCCTTCAGGGTACACTTCCACTTGTTCTTCACCCTTTGTACCTTGTCGTAGGTGCAAAGCATGACTTGACCCATAGACTCGTCGCCGTCGTGCTCGTCAGCAACAAGATCATCCGGGTCATCGAGATCAGAATTAATGGCATCTTCGTCATCTTCGTCTCTTTCATCATCACCACCTGGACCATCGAACTGGGCTTTGGGAACAGCCGAAGGTTGCGCTCCAGTTCCATCTACTGAATTAAGCGAAAGGCCACGTGCTGAAGATGTTTGTCGCTCTTCCAAAGGTAGCATAAGGCCTCCACCCTCCAACTGGAGCATGCGCTGTTTCAGGTGCTCCCGCAAGAGACGGTCGCCCTCTCCGTTCTGACGTTGCGCGGCTTCACGCCGTCGAGCGACCTCTGCCTTCCACTCAGAGAGTGCATCTCCAGCACCATCGGTTTGAGCGTTCCCCAAGGAAGGACGAGGGGCAGGTGGGTAGCCAGGCTCCTGCTTGATCTGGGGCGCCTGGCCATTCGGCAAATGCTGCATGTTTGGTGGGCGTGGCTGACCTGGCATGCCCATCGCTGCCTGCGACTGGGCTTGCAGCTGACTAACCGAAGTGGCAGCTGCGTCTCCATAGCGCTGACGGAGCATGTCGGCGGCCCGTTGTTGAGCAGACTGGGGGGCTGATCCACTGGGTGGCATCATCATGTTGCCGTTGTTGTTCACGGGCATCATCCCCGGCTGATTGTTGACCCCAGGCTCCGTCTTAATCGGCGGCAGGTGGCCCATGGGGCGAGGCGGGGCACCTACCGGGGCCGGAGCTTGCATGGGGGGAGCCGTGGTGGGCATGGACTGAGGAATGGGTTGTTGCGGAGGAGGAACATGTTGCTGTGGTGGATGAGGAGACGGAGCAGGACGAGGAGCGTTGGAAGGGACGGTGGCAGTGGGAGGGAGTATTTGTTGCTGGTTTTGGCTGGGAGGGGCTTGTTGCGGTGGTGGGGGATCCCAAGGGAAATGAGCGACGCCCAATGAAGATAGCTTCTTCTGCCAGCTCTGCGATAGAAAATGTCAGTGGATTGCGAATAAAATGATATCCAGAAATAATGAAGGGTTTGACCGAGACAGACTCCCAGCAAGGACAGCGCAGTAAGAATTAAAGAAGGGTGGTGAGGGGAGATTCGGGGTAAGAGGGAAGGAATGAGGAGGGAGAGGGAGTAAGTAGAAGGTGAAGGTGGGCTTGGCAGACTAGAGCGACGGGCGGGTAAAAGCGGCGCGGTATAAAAAGAGACTCAAAAGCCAGCAGTTCCCCCCAGCCGCGCATCCACTGCCCTTTCCCGCACCTCCTCTCGGGCCCCGCTTGGGAACCTCATCACACTTAACACCCCCCCCCTTCTGACACTGAGCAATCCATCCCCGTTTCCCGTGCTGTTCATCCAAAGAGAAATCATAAACTGGAATTATCACTCACTTTGCGCAAATCTAGAAGCGTCTGTTGATCCACTCCACTTTCTTCAAAGTCCACCTGAGAGCCATCGCAAACCTCCTGGATGACACGATCGAACACCGTGCCCTGTTGGCAGGTATCAGCCAACGACCTTCAAAGGAAAGGAATATATCTTTGTGAAAGTGTGGAGGTCGTGAGACTATTCAATGGCATGCAAGCATAGCCACCATACTCGACAAAGCTCACAATCCAGGTAGGGATAGATCGGATGGATACTCACCACCTGCTGGTTTGACATGGTCGCCGGGGCAGGACCTCGCAGAGGATCCTTGTCTGGGTTTAGGTGAAACGGAGAAGGAGTAGGAAGAGAATGAAGAATTGCTAAAGAGACGGTGGAACACGAGAAGTGGGATTCTAGAATATCACGACGGTAAGGCGTGGGTGAGAGAGTCGGCTTATCTGAGGTGAAGCGTCGCAGTCGCAGGCGTCGTTGGTAGTTTGCCAAGGGCTCATGCGACAGTCGTAACTCCAACGCCCGCTACAGTAACACGTCCTCACCGAGGTTGTCCTATCTTGTGAGAGTATCGTTTGCCTTGTCAGAACCAGTAAAAAGGTAGAAAAGCAAAGATGGAGTAGGAGCTTGAGTCAAGGGCCAGGCGGTGACAAGAAAGGTCAATGTGCCAGAGGGATGTGGTTGAGGTGAAAGTCGCTCTCCCCGGGCGAAATCCGCCTCTCTTCCCGCTTGCTTAGTCACCACTCCGCTAGTCCCGTCAAGGGTTATCCGGGGGAGTCCTTAAGATAAGTTACCGTTTCTTAGCAATCATCGCCACTGCATTCTTTTCAAGCAACTGTTTTTTCTTAAGAGACACTAAGAATAATACATATGTAGATAACTTCTAGCATACCTTAGGTAACTTCGTTGTATATCAAAACCACTCATTCTGGCAATCTCTTTCTACAGGGTTCTTCTCATCCTAATTGATGAATTAATGCCGAGGAAATGCCTAGCTAGCCTCTAGATAACTATTGGACTAGGTACCTACGGAGAACTAAGGTAAGGTAAGTCTGGCCAAAGAGGAGGCAGTCTCTTCTCCGTATAGAACTCACGCAAGCTACCTTAGTACTGTACCTAGCCTTCTAATATTAAGGTACTCGTGTAAACTGCTCCGCGGGGGGCTTTCCCGTATCTGGCAAGGTAGAGGAACCGCCGCGGGTTGCGGAGCCGCGAGCCGTATTGGGACAGCTCTCTCGTCCCTCTCCACTCTCCATCTACTAAGTCTTGATCTTTAGCGCAATGCTTCCAGTCTCAGATTCCCTGGCAGGGACACGCTATACTTGATATGTATGATACGGCAACGGGACTATTTACAAGATGTCTACCATGAAACGAAAACATGATGCTGTGCCCCATACTATGGTGCAGCGATTGACTCCACAGCCACGGCTATCATGCCAGAATTGTCGTCAAAAGAAATGGCGATGTGATCGCAAACACCCTTGCAACAACTGCAAGCTACGCAAGGTCTACTGCCAGTTTGACTCCGGACCAGATCCTCAAGATCTTCCGACTTACTCAGCAAGACATGGTACAGCTAGCAATTCACCTGCTGGCCCCGTGATCTCGCCGGTATCTGTATCCCAAACAGAAGGCGATACCGCACCAAGCCTCTACCCCAACAACGATGGATCCTTTGGCCTAGTGGATCGAATACGTAAGCTAGAAGAGGCGGTCTTTGGCAAAGGTTCGACCACACATGAAACGAATGTGAGTGATCAAGGCGCATCATTGTCTTCCGTACTTACTCCGGCACATAAACAGAGACCAGCTCCAATCGACCTAGGCTCCAGAACCTCTGGCTTTAGGGCCGATAATGTATGTACAGGTCATCAGATACTCCACAGCCCACACAGCTAGCTGAAATGTCGTTGGATACAGCATGGAAGAGGTGGAGGTGGCACTCCTTTCGCCAAGCTGTCTTCTTCAGCAGTACGAGAACAGATTGTCGAATTCGACGACTGCATGCAAGACCCGAGGCGCATCTTTGAATGTCTTCCCCCGGTGGAGCAAGCACGACAACTTTTCGACCAATTCGTACGAGCTATTCAACCGACTCTTGGTGTTCTCCATATACCGTCTGTGCGGGTTTTGATGGAGGAGACCTACCGGGATATATCTGAGGGCAAGGAACCGAACTTTACTGTGGTCATTCTGCTCTTGAGCATATATGCCGGCAGCACCCTTGTTGTGACATCCGAGCTCCTAGAAAGTCTCAAAGCAACAGAGAAAGAGGCTAGGATTGCCTTCGCCACTTTCACGCGCCTTGCTATGACTATGCTAGATTATCCTTCGCGACCCGTAGTCCCGTCAACTGTGGCTCTTCTCGCCATAACGACCCTATGTCACGTTCTGACACACGCAGACGGATTCTCCGATAAGATGCAGGCTCTCCGTATGCGCGCAATCTTCATGGCACGGTCAATGCAGATTCATCGTCTGGACTCTCCAAAAGGTCAGGAAGAGAGGAAGCGCACAGGGTACGAAATCGTTGAGATCGAGGTCCAGAGACGGATATGGTGGCATATTGTGTCATCCGACTGGTCAAGTCTATCATGGCTCATACTCAAACCTGTTGGCACTAACAGTTGTACAGGATAGTATCACTTTCTCAAGGGCCACAAGAGGGCTCATACCTACTACACCCAAAACACATGAGGGTTAATCTTCCAAGTAATGTTGATGACGAGTCCCTAGCGACCAGTGAGCCAGACTGCGGGTTGCCCCTTACCACCCCAACATCCATGTCCGTCTTCATCTTGCGTGTTCAGTTTGCCGAGATCTGCCGGCAGATTGTTGACGCCTTCTCCTCTATGTTCCTCGGAGAAAACGATCTACCCGAGTACGATATAGTCCTTGATCTAGACCGCAAACTGCACAATGTCCTCGATTCCATGCCGAATTTCCTTCGGCTGGACCCGGAACATGTCCAGCAGAGCCGTGAGATCATCACGGAGCGACCATACCTCGCCTGGCAGCGCATTGTCGGCCACTTAGGCATCTACACCCGCATCTGCCGCCTCCACCGTCCATATCATCGTGAAGCCTCAGTAAACCCTCGATTTGCGTATTCTCGCCAGGCGTGTCTCCACTTCGCTCAGCGGATCCTTGATCTCCGCCGCACAATGGACGAAGCCAGCTCTACCGTCGGCATGAAGCCCACTAATTATTGGATGGTCATGCAACATGTATTTTTCGCCGCAATGGTTCTAGCCTCGGACGTGTCAATGAACCCGGGCAGTCCCGGTGCGGACCGCAGGAAGCAGGACGTTTTAATAGCCTGCAAGATGCTAGAGCAATCGCAGCGCTTGTCAACGAGCCTAACCGGGGCGATTCGAAGGAATACTCAGACCCTAATGTCGATTCTCCAGAGCACGCAAAAGGAGCAACAACAGCCCCCGAGAGCCAATCCGGATGCGACGTCTCATGCTTTGCCGACGTCTCAAGGAGGTGCATTCAGTACATCTCCTAGTCGATTCTCACAAGGAGAGGCCACTTGGAGGGTAAGCGCTGCTGAAGCAGATGTGCAGCAACTCCACTTTTCCGATAATGCTCCCACTGCGGGGAACAATCACATGGCGTGGGACGCCACTTCTACTCAACCCGCTGGCGAGGAAAGCTGGGGTCAGTTGTGGTCTGATCTGTTCGCTGCAGCGCCAGAGATTGATGATATACAATGGGATCTCTTGTTGAACGACTGGGACTTGGCTATCGATACAGGATTCTGAGACGAGTAGGGCTATCTTACATGACGCAGTACTCGTAGCCTTCGGTGTTGAGTATGGCGGGGGCAGGTGCGAGGACCTAGGAAATGGTTATACGTTTCCAATCTATTGGGGATCAGGTGTTGGCCACTACCTACTAGGTAGCACATGTAGTACATCGACTCCATTTGATGAACCTCAGGTCTTATGGTGCGCTAGGAATAGCTTCAAGATCACCACTTCGAGAATCTTCTTTCCACTGGCATTCACACACCTACCGCTCTCATTTTTTTTTAGTTATGTATTCTGCTTCAGTGCATAGTACAGTGCACCATGCGAGCGAGGTAGTCCTCGCGGTGGTGGCAGCCCTCGTGGCCGTGGCAGCCCTCACGGCCCTCGCAGCTCTGGTTGATAAAGAAACGTATGGATCTTGTGGTGGAGATACGTCGGCTTGGCGATCTCGGACATCTCGGTAATCACAAAAGGTAATTTTTAAATTTGACCGTTTAGGAAGAATGAACACGTAAACGGGCTTGTCCCACCTGTACAAGAATGCATCTGGCTAGCATATAAGTTATTATTTTCTTTGGGAAGATGAGGAGGGCACCTGGTACAACAATTCTCTCCCCATATGTCATGACCAAAACACTGTGCACCCAGCATGGATGGTTCCGAGCTGGATTCTTTACATAAGTGCTTGTGTGTATCGTGCCTGCCTTCGACGCAGCTGCCGCCTTCATCATTGAAAAGTGGGTGTCGGCGTTATTGGGTTGAGTAGAGATACGGGCCGCCAGCACGGTGCAAAGACTCGGAGAACCCCGATGCGTCGGTTTTCGAGTTTGTTTCGGAAAGGGACCTTGAGATATCAGAGGGACTATAGCTGAGAGCATGCTCGCTTGTGCGAGCAAAAATATCCGAGGTGGAAGATGTCGACATCCTGTAAAGGTGCAAGACAAAAAACCAGTGATCAATGATCTACATGCACATAGTTAGAACGGCAGTAGAAGACATCATAGATCCGTTTGGGGATAGGTACCTACGGTGGTCTAATTCAACTGTCGGCCACTGCAGCCCAGTGTGAGTCATTCGCTATATCATTCCTATATCATCGTCATCATTCCTGTCTCATTATTCGGTGACACGCTTAGTATATATAAACGACCTCGCTTACAAGGGCTGCCACCGCCATGAGAACTCCCCTCCCCACAGAACGTCAAACCGGAGCAGCCTCAATAACACTATCCTCCAAACTTGCCGTATAAGTCTGGATACTCGTCGCCTTCAACTCGGCACTCTGCAGCAACTGATCCCACTGCTCCTGCGTTCGCTCCCGCGCCGCCAACATCGTCATCGTGAGGATATCCAGCTGCGCGGCCTGCCAATGCACGCCGGCATTTAGAAGCACCATGTCGTCAACCAAGATGATCGAGTCCTCCGCCATCGCCTCGATCGTGTTCTGGAGGATGATCCGCGCCTTGTTATCCGGCCAATCGTGGAAGATGTTCCGGAAGTAACAGAATTTCGCCCCTAAACCGTCACCAAGAGATTAGCTTTGGTCTGTCCTTCTCTCGTCCTTCGAAAGGAGGACGAGAAGGGAGAAAACCTACCTTTAATACCCTGCAGCTGGAAGAAATCCTGCTCCATCATCTCCACCCCCGCATGCTGGATGGCATGCTGCAGCGTCGGCGCCAGATCCTGGACGACGACGCGCCCTGCGAGATCGCGGTAGCGGTTCCGGAACGCGATGGCCTACTGCCTGAAGCCGCCTCCTACGTCGACGAAGAACACGCGCTCCGGGTGCAGGGCGGTGGGGTGCTCGCGGACGGGGTAGGCGTCGAGGAAGGTGGACATCCCAGCACAGTTGGTCGTGAGGTATTCCTGGAATAAAGCCAACTTTTCGGGCTGGGTTTGTAGCCAGAAGAAGGCAGGTTGGGTGGTGTTGAAGGCCCGTTGGAGGGCGGTGTTAGCGCTGTCCTTCGGATCAACGTAGTTGGTTTCCTTGAGGAAGGTTTGGAGGGATTAAATGGCTGGGTTCATTGTGTCGAAACTAGCCATTCCCATTAGTATAGTTGCGTGGTTGTGTACAGTACGTCTGTGCCAGGCAAGGTGATCAACTGACTAGTGGCAGATGGCGGCTTGGAAGCCTAACAGGGCAAAGGTGGAGGAGATGTTGGTGGAAGTGAAGGTGTCCTTTTCGGTCTCTTTGATGGCGCCGAATGACGCGAGGTAACGAAGCATGCGGCCTGATTCCATAGTTAATGGATCTCTTTTCTTCACATTCGTATCTCACGGCATCAGCTGGGTTCATCCAGGAAGATCAGATCTGCCCCAGTTTTGTCGCTCAGCTCACCGACAGCGAGAGGCTTCTCGCTCTCCACAAGGGAGCTGAATAGACTGAGGTCGATTCCGACCCGCAAGGCTGCCATTTGTAGGTTCTATCATATCATTCAGAGATTGATCAGTAAGTCTAATGGAAAGAGGGACACCACTTGATATGCTATACTGGACTTACGTAGAATGTGAAACGCTGAACCGTATCGTCCAGCTTCTCGATCGAGTTGCGCAACTCCTGCAGCGAGTCCAGGACATCCTTGCGATGCTTCCCGTCGCCTGCTCTGGGCGAGCGAGCGGACTTGCTGGAAGAGAGCTTCCATGGCTGGATTCTTAAATACTGAGCTATGCAGTAGAAATATGATTGAAAGTTGAGAGCCCTGAGCCAAGAAGAAGCCCTGCGGTCTGCTATGGAAGGCTTATATAGATCCCCCTTCTTCTTCTTCCCCCCCCACACCCTCAACACGCTAGTGACCGAAACGAGGCTCGAATGCGGTTAGCCATGCTGGCAAGGATTATAGTCCATAGTCTAATCAGAAGAGAGCTGAGAGAAGGGATGTTCAGCTTCAATAACCCTCGTTCCCCGATGCGATATTAGGGGTATCTCAGGTTCTTCTCCAAGCAGATAAACAAGTACGGTACAAATCACAGGACACGGGATTGAATACAACCACCCATCTGCATAGACTCAGGGCTCAGGACTCAGACTACCGGCAGGACGTTCCTTTCAGAGGTTTGCAACTCGATTGGTACAGTCTCTGCGTATCGGAGTATATATCATCAGTCCAAAAAGGAAAAGAACAGGGCTGAGGATCAGAAAAGAAAGGTGGCGGAAGGGAGAAGTTGGATGCCTTTTTATATCCCGCGGGGGAAAGCGTCACATGCTGCGGACACTGACTCACGGGGGTAATTACGTACATTGGTACATTGGTAGTAATGAATACGGACCTTGGAGTACTCCGTACTCCGGAAATTGACATATTAAGACTATGACACCGGCAGCAGTAATTCCAGTACCAGAGGTATTGAATTTCCATAGACAAAGGGGTAAGTAGAATATACATGCACCATCCAAATACTAATATAGAGGCCTGTCACGGCAGAGCCCCTACCTTAGCCTTCTTCTTCACAGATCAACTAACCTGGAGGTGGAGGAAAGATGCACAGGCCTCAAGGAGATCCTGCCAGATTATTGAAGGCGCGACTGGACGGGCTGGCCAAGATAGCACTCCTCCCTAAGTTTTACTCTGATGGAGACCTTGATTGAACGATATCCAAACAATGAAGCAGTAGAATCATGATTAAAAAGGTTTGTTATTGGTCACCAATTTCTATACAAGATCCGAAGCACTGAAGACAAGACAAACATCCTAAATCACAGCGCCTTGTCCTTCCAGTCACCGTCCGAACTCCATCACACCATTGAATATCCGCTGTACACAAAAAGAGAAACGCAAGTGGTATCGAGACAAACGCCGGTCTACGATATAGAACGCATCATGTTGAACATATAGTAAGCCCGAAAAGGAAAAGTGAGAAAGCAGGTGTCATCACAACTCTTCAAACCGGATCTACCGGATGGTCATGGACTTGGTCATCTGCGCCTTGCTGCCAATACCACCTTCGCGGGAAGCCGCGGCGCTGGTTCCCGGCTTGCGCTCGAAGATTTTCCAGAATTTCAAGCTCTCATCGGCGGCCGCGGTGGCGAGGAGTTGACCGTCGGGGCTCAAGCAACTGTGCAGCACACGAGTCTCGTGGGCAGGGATCTCCACATTCCGAACCAGAGTCGGGTAGCTCCAGATGCTGAGGGAGTTATCGGGAAAACCGCTTGAGCTGACAATCTCGCGGTAGTGGTTGCTCCACCGCAAGCTGGTGACCTGGGAGCCAGTGTCAATGCTATTGGTGCGTGCACCGGTGGTGGTGTTCCAGAAGTGGATATGGCGGTCATACGAGCCACCACCAGTGGCGAGCAAGTTCAACTGCCAGGGGCACCAACTGAGAGCCTTGACAGCGGCGCGGTGGTTGGTCTTGGTGAACTTGGGGGCACTGAGGGAGCGAGCATCCCAGATGTTGACCAAGTTGTCGTTGCCTCCCGTCGCGAGCTGAGCACCGTCGGGTCTCCACTCTAAGCCACAGACCTCCGAGGTGTGGGAGACCAGCTCGGCAACCTTGTGTTGGGCGATGCGGACATCGTGGTTGAAAACCAAACCACTGCGGGCGCCGGTGGAAAGAGTGTGCTTGGACCATCCCATAACGCCGACGCGGGAGTCGTGGCCGAACATGCTGCGAAGCTTGGTTCCTTCTTCAACATCCCAGATCTGCACCTCGCCGGTACCCAGGCCCACGCCAACGTACGCTCCATCCCCGCTCCACTTGACACTGCTCACATAAGTGTCAGAAGGTGCCTCCAACAAACAACTGACTGTTCCGGAGTCGGCGGACCAAACGTAAACATTACGCTCAAGGCCAATGGCGACCTGGTTGCCAGAGCTCCAGTCCAGAAGGTTAAGATAATAATCATCAAGCAGACCAGGAGCATCAAGAACACGCTCAGGGGCCGTCTGAACCCTTCTGCGGAATTGGGCGGATTGAGACTTGGCAGACTTAAGAGGACGATTGTACTGAGCGCGCAGATCAATAGGCTTGGAGGATTCAGGAGGCGGAGGCTTAAAGGCCAAAATACGGGTGTTCAAGTTCACTCCGCAAGCATCGGCAAGTGACGATTCGTAGGCAACAGCATCAGGCGCGGGCTTGGTGTAGGAGGTAGTAGACTCGCTGTCGTCGATTCCAAGGCTCTCAAGAGCTGCGGTAAGATCTTCTTCGCTTCCGCGGCCACCGATATCAAAAGCGCTTGCTGCGTTCGCCAGAACAGATGATCCCTCGCTGCTTGTGCTCTTTGGGCGCTGGCTCTCCTCGGGCTTGGCTGTTCCAGCAGTCACAAGTCCTTCGCTAGCCGTGCGGTTGGGAATGAATCGGTCGCCAGCGTTGTGCGCAATACGAACAGTAGTCTTTCCCGACCTCGTCGTCCGGGTCGTCCGGATCTCTTCTTTGCGGGCAACCTTCTCCCGAGGAACTTCCTTGCGGGTAACTTCCTTGCGGGTAACTTCCTTGCGGGTGACTTCTTTGCGTAGTCGCTCCTTGGACGGAGTCTGTGATGAAGAGGGTCCAGTACCCGTCAAAGCCCACTCAGATACTCCTAACTCAAGGTGTTTAGGGGACTTGCGAGGACGAGCGCGGGCGATGTTGGACTTGGGAGACTCCCGGTAGCTGCGGGAGGTGGAGAGGTTGGATTTGGGAGATTCGTGGTACTTGCGTGTCGGCTTGGAGACTGACTTGGCAAAGTATGAGGAGAGATTGCCGCCGTAGACAGACTTGCCAAACTCTTTGCCCGTCTCTCCAGCTCCGCATTGGGGAGTGAAAGGGGAGGAGTGGTTCGAGGCCACACTATCGCGTCTGCGCGGAGACGGCGTCAGGGGCATACGACCACCGGCAGTTTTTGTGGAGAAGATCCCATGGTGAGTCTTCACGGGGGTAGATACGGTCGGAGTAGCCATGTGGGTATATAGTTATTGTGCGAACAATGCAACGGGAGACCAGGTCTTCAAGCTCCGGTAGTGACGCCAATTGCAGTCGACTACTTACTGGCTTGGACTGACAGGCTGAAGAGGTCAAAAGTGAAAATGCAGTATAGAATACAGCAGAATATATAGCAGATAGCAGATAAACAAGCAAAATAGGAAGATGAAGAGGGAAGAGGAGGGAGGGAGATTTTTGAGATTCGAAGAGGAGGATCCAGGGGAGAGGAATAAATAAAGCGTATAGTTCTTCTTTCCCATGGCAACCACTGGTTACTGGAGGTACGACTGCGCTAGTCCGAATGCGGGATGGCGAACGCCTGACATGTGGCTTATCCCAATCAGGCATCGACCGGTCTTGCGGTGGCGGTCAGCGTCAACTTTTTCCGTCTCCAGACTTTCTTCGGAACTTTCCGTCTTCATCTTTGGGTGAAAAGTACTTCAACCGAACGGTGCTTGTTTCTCCGACTTATCAACGATGAGATTATGATTCAACCGAGTTGAGTTGACTTGACATTCACCTAGCAGTCAAAATCCCATCACTGCTGCTGAATAGTAGTGCTGTCTCTCACCCGCTCTTATCAGACCGAGGTCTCCTATCCTTATCGGTGCCCCGATGGCGCGGCAACCGTCCTCCACAATCGCTCGGAATAGTAACGCTTCTTCGTCCTCGGGCGACCCACTGCCTTGGCCCCAAATCGCCAGCCAGATGGCTTCCCTTCCACCTACAAGTACTTCTCAGAGATCACAGAATACTTTCCTTATGCCACCGAGTCCGAGTGGTAGTGGTGATCGTCGCGGGAGTGCGGACTACCGCCCGAGCATCCGCAAGGCACTGGGCCATGTGCCGGCGTGCCTGGTCAATGCGTCGGTGACGTATTGCAATAATGACCAGATCTACGCTTTCGGTGGCTTCGACCAGTACACCGATGAAGGTTGTCATTTTTCCATTCCATGTCGGATAGTTTGTGTCTCTATGCTAATCACTAAGTCTGGCTGAGGCAGTCTATAACCATGTTCTCCGCTTGAATCTGAGTACACTTCGCTGGGAATTGGTTGATAATTATGGGGATATCCCCGGTGTTCGCATGGGTTAGCTCCCCCGCACTTCGTTGGATGTTTCACAAAACGGCTGTACATACTTATGTTCTTTCATCACACACAGGTCATACGGCTACCCTGTACCAAGGCGACAAGTTGATTGTTTTCGGTGGAGAAAACGAACACCGCGAGTACCTTTCCGATGTTGTCATTCTCGACATCCCCACCTCGAACTGGACCCAGCCGGAAATCCGTGGACCAATCCCGCGAGGAAGGGCTCGCCATGCTGCGGTGATTTATGACGAGAAGCTATTCATCATTGGGGGCGTGACGGGCGAAAACAACGTTATTCTCGATGAGCTCTGCTACTTGGATCTGAAAACTTGGACCTGGTCTCGTACTTGGGCGTTCACCGCCCGCTTCGACCATATTGCCTGGGTCTGGGGCGGCCGTCTCTGGATCTTTGGAGGCCTGGACCCCAACATGGAACGGACAACGGATATCTGGTGGCTGGACCTCAAAGACATGCAATCTCTTGGAATGGCGACATCGCAAGGTACCGTGGAATCCCCAACGACCGCCAGCAGGATGACTTATAGTCCAGACACTATGTTTAGTAGCCCCCCGCAACAGCTTGCCGGCCGGTCCAGCAACTATGCAGCAAACTCTGGCAGCGTGCAGATCCGGACCCAGTCCAGGACCTCGACTCGACGAAAGCCGAATGCTCCCGGAGCCGTTTCGTGTCTGCGTTTCCAGTCTGGTCCCCATGTTCCCGCCCTTTTCTCTGGAACTCACTTTCAGTCGTACGCATCAGGAGTTCTCCTTGACCTAACCACGCCCTCCGAGACCGTCCGCACGTATGAATGCAACCTGTCCTCGTTGGAACTTGACTCGCTGCGCTGGCAGCGACTCGCCGATGGCCAAGAGATCTTCAAGCCTGGATTTAGATGGCACTACTGCACCGTCAATGCCAGTGGTACCAAAGCTTGGCTGCTTGGCTGTAGCCTCGACGCCGGAGCCAACCCAGGGACTAGCGATGAAAACCACATGAGCGAAGTGCTTTGCATTGATCTAGAAAGATACGGTTTGCTGGGCAATGAAATGTCTGCCTTTTCGCCTAACCCAAGCAGAATGCACATGGATGACCAGACCGGACCCATGCCCCTATCTGGTATAGGCCATGATCTCGCCGCCGTGTTTGATCAAACGCCCGAGTCTGGTAGTGGAGCTGACTTTGTCATTACTGCTAACCCCACCGATCACCTCGAAATGGATGATGCTTCGGAAGACAACTCTGATCCACAGGCTGAACCCGCGTTTCTCTCGCCCAACGCGGCCACCTCTCCACCCATTCATGTGCACCGGATCATCTTGCAGCTGCGGTGGCCGCACTTCAAGAGACTCTACTCCGCCCAAATGGCCGAGTACCACTCGAAGCGGATGCACATCCCTGAGCCCTACTCGGTTGTTCGTGCCTTCATATACTACCTGTATACAGATAGCATTGCGGGGCACCCGGAGTATTGTTCCGACATCATCGACGTAGCCGGGATGCTGGTGATGGCTAACCTGTACGACATGCCCAAGCTGCGCCTGCTATGTGTCAACCGCTTGAGTCGAGAGCTCGATGTGGAAAACGCAGCGATCATTTGGGAGCGGGCGGGTCGAACGAACGAGTCATGGCTGATGCGGCGTGCGGCTCAGTTCTGTCTCAGCCACTGGGGCCGCGTTGTCCGTACTGACGGGTTCAAGTCTCTCAGTCGTCAGAGCATCATCGATCTCTGCGAAGTGGTTGATATGGAGGGTCGCATTATCGCGGGGCCGGAATTGGAGCTGGTTGGGTCGCTGGGCGAGGGGCTACACAAGGACCTGAAGCCATCCCAGCTGCTGGGTGGTGGGGTTGCCACTGAGAATGTGGATGATCTCGAAGGTGAAGACATGGACACAATGGAGATTATCTAGCATTCAGTTTGGTCGCAGTTCGACAAGGCGTTATGATCTGGAGGTTGTTTTTATCACGATTTACTTCTTGTGACCTATTATTCTATTACTCTTTCGGCTACTTGGCACGGCGCTTGTGATGCGATCGGGATGGAAGGAGCATCTTACTAGGAGTTTTCAGACTGATAGTGATTATGTTATTGTTACTTAGTATTCAAAAGAGCTATGCATGCTTATTCTGGATGTTTTGGAATGGGGGCGCTTAACCCGATACAATTCGGGGATCGGTCCGTTTAGCCGGAATTCGACCCCGCGTGGGAGAGACACAAGGCAATGTTTGTTCCATTCTTCCAAGTTCCAACCTTTCGCTTCTGTCTTTTGTCTCGGCATCATACAGACACAATGCTCTGGTTGGATCAATGCTGAATCCTGCCCGTGCTTTCGGCCACCTTGACCCCTCTCATCATGGGGTGATCCATCTATAAATACGCCCCATGAACTGCGTGGGGAGCTTTTACATTCCAAGCAACGCATCTCACTTCTTCCCCTCCCCCTCTTTATACTTACTTGTGCACCATCAAGACAAAACTACCATGGGTTCAGCAGGTGCCTCCACCCTCCCCAAAGATTTTCTTTGGGGCTTCGCCACAGCCAGGTACGTCTGTTTCTTTACCTAAAATTCCCACGAAATGGAATACAACCAACTAATCGTCGAATTCAGCTACCAAATCGAGGGCGCCGTCGCCGAGGACGGCCGCGGCCCGTCGATCTGGGACACCTTCTGCAAGATCCCCGGCAAAATCGCCGACGGGTCGAACGGCGACGTGGCGTGCGACTCGTACCACCGGGTCGACGAGGACATTGCCTTGCTGAAGCAATGCGGGGCCCAGGCGTATCGATTTTCGATTTCATGGTAAGCCAGCCCTCCTCCCTGCTTCACAACACCTTTACCATCGTTAGCCCGGCGACATCCTCCCACTATTCCCTCCACAAACAAAGGCCCCTATTATTCCAAGAGCATGCTCTAAATCACCATCACTCAATTGACAACTTCCCCCCCAAAAAAAGGTCCCGAATCATCCCCCTCGGCGGCCGCAACGACCCCATCAACCAAAAGGGCATCGACCACTACAGCGCCTTCATCGACCGGCTGCACGCCGCCGGGATCGTCCCGCTGGTGACCCTGTACCACTGGGACCTGCCGGACGAGCTGGACAAGCGGTACGGCGGGCTGCTGAACAAGGAGGAATTCGTGGCGGACTTCACGCACTACGCGCGGGTGCTGTTCGCGGCGTTCGGCAGCCGCGTCAAGCACTGGATTACCTTCAACGAGCCGTGGTGCAGTGCAGTGCTCGGGTACAACGTCGGGCAGTTTGCGCCGGGCCACACGAGCGACCGCTCCAAGAGCAGTGTCGGGGATGGGTCGCGGGAGCCGTGGATCGTCGGGCATAACCTGTTGGTGGCGCATGGGGCGGCGGTGAAGGTGTATCGGGAGGAGTTCAAGGAGAGGGATGGCGGGGAGATCGGGATTACGCTGAACGGTTCGTTCCATTCTTCCCTTCCCTAATTGTTTGTGAAGGGGTGAGGCGAGGCGAGGTGAAGTGAGGCTGATGCAGTGAACCTTGCCAACAGGCGACTGGGCCGAACCCTGGGACCCGGCCAACCCGGCCGACGTCGAGGCGTGCACCCGCAAGATCGAATTCGCCATCTCCTGGTTCGCCGACCCCATCTACCACGGCAAGTACCCGGACAGCATGGTGCAGCAGCTGGGCGACCGGCTCCCCGCCTGGTCCGCCGAGGACCGCGCCCTCGTGCTCGGCAGCAACGACTTCTACGGCATGAACCACTACTGCGCCAACTACATCAAGGCCAAGACCGGCGAGCCCGACCCCACCGACACCGCCGGCAACCTGGAGATCCTGCTGCAGAACAAGGCGGGCGAGTGGATCGGCCCCGAGACCCAGTCGGCGTGGCTGCGTCCGTGTGCCATCGGGTTCCGGAAGCTGCTGAAGTGGCTGAGTGACCGCTACGGGCAGCCGAAGATCTACGTGACGGAGAATGGCACGAGCCTGAAGGGGGAGAACAATCTGCCCGTCGAGCAGTTGCTGCAGGATGAGTTTCGCGTGCAGTATTTCCGGGATTATATCGCCGCCATGGCAGATGCGTATACGCTCGACGGGGTGAATGTGCGCGCGTACATGGCGTGGAGTTTGATGGAGTAAGTTTTATCTGTCTGGTCTGGTAAATTGGGTTTGGGCTTGCTAACTTTGGATGCGCAGTAACTTCGAGTGGGCCGAGGGGTACGAGACTCGATTCGGCGTGACTTATGTGGATTATGAGAATGGGCAGAAGCGCCTCCCGAAAGAGAGTGCTAAGCAGATTGGGAAGATCTTCGAGCAGTATATTGAGAAGGAGTAGCGGATCATCTGCATAGCAGGGTAAGATATAGTTTACTAGTGGTTAACATATGCTGTGCAGCTTTCTGATGGCTGAGAAGTGCTCTCATGTAACTCGATCAAAGAATGAGGATAAATTGCATCGATTATGAACCTTGCTTGAGATCAGTAAACCGCACAGGAGGAATTCTACAGCCCAATCAACGAACCTATTACTTACACCAGACTGCTTCCATGAGATCATAATCTGAAAGTAACCCAAGTCTTGAGCATACTTCCAGGGGATCAAATCACACCTCCTCGCGTACACCACCTAAACCTAAGTAACCCACCCCTCCCTCTCAACATCATACCCAATAATCCCGAACTCAATCTTCATCATCTTCAGCATGACTCCCATCGTAAGCTCCTGCCATCATCAGCATCAGGCATAGCCCCAGCCCAGCCAACCAACTCCCCCCGGTTTGACGGCATGAGAAAAAAAAAAAAAAAGAAAACCCGGATGAAAGAGAAGCGTAAACGAACCTGCTCTTCATCGTCATCGTGATCCCGCCCCTCCTTCCCAGCCCTATTCTCTTCACCTCCAATCGCGTCCTCATAATCCCCCTCCCAGCTCTGCCTTCGCCCCTGCAACCCAGCAGAAAGAGAAGTAGAAGGATCCTCACAATCCCATCCCCAAGACCCCGACCCCGCCCCGGACCCATTCCCCGACTTCAGGGCCTGCAACCCCCCCATCCGATTTACCCGCTCCCTAGCCCCCAGAAACACCTCCTCTGCGGCGCGCTGGCTGACCTCCTTCCACTTGTGAATCAACCGCTCCAGCTCGACGGTTTTGTTTTGGGTTTCGATGCGGCGGGCCTGTTGGAGAGTGTCGTACTCGGCGGTCAGGGCGTGGAGGTGCGCGAGGAGGGTGGCTCTTTGGGTTGTTAGTGAGGAGAGCTCGGTTGTTGTGGGCGAAGAAGGGACCGGAAGGGGGGTGGGTTTTTGGGGTGTTTGGGGGATGCCGGGTTTGGAGAGGGTGCGTGGGCGTGGACGTGGTCGCGTTAAAGATTTGGTGGGCGTGGGGTTTATGCTGTTGCTTGGGCTGGTACTGGATTGTGTTTGTTGTTGCTGCTGGGGGAGTTCGATGGATTAGTTCCTGGTCACGGCGGGTTCGCGAGAGCAGGCAGGGTACGTGCCTGGTTTTGGAGGCGTGGAGTTGAAGTCGAGGTTGGGATTGTCGTTGTAGTAGCTGCAGCTGTGACAATTCCTGGGATCGGAGTTATTGGTACTGTTCTGTGGGTTTATGGGTGGCTTGATGCTGTAGCCGGTGTGTTCTGTACATACCTGCAGCTGTACCTGCAGCTGTACCTGCATCTATAGCCAAGCGGTGCCGTTAGCTCGCATGCATTGAACCACAAATACACCAGGGGGGTAACATGCTCTGCGCCGAGGTTACAGTGTTCAGTCCCGGACTACCGGTTACCGCCCCATCTAGACTTTCTGTAGCAGGGGCAGGTCTGCGGAGAGGGGACTTGAACGGCTTGGTCAAGGTGGAGGACGGTGAGGGGTTGAGACGACGACGTTTGTTGGTCCCGCTCATCTTCGTCTGTGTATTAGACTGGAATGGAGTGTAGTCCGTTGTAGGCTCTAGGCTCAGGTCATCAGAGAGGCGTAGGAGAAGAAATGCAATGTCTGAGCATCATCAAGCTCAATCATAGAGTTCAGTTGGAGATCAAGGATGAGAGGAGAGGAGCAAACGGAGCGATAAAGCTGCTGTGCTTATCGATAAGCCAGAGAGGGTCACATGCTCCAACCGGTCGAAGATTTAGAAGACAAACTCACAACAACACAACTACAATTTCTTCATCACCAATCAACTATTCTAATGTCCTACTCCCCCCGCCGCCCATTGCGCGAACTCTGGATTGCCAGGTCGAGGGAAGAACCCCCGATCCCCAAGGCCATTGCCATTGCCATTGCCATTGCCAAACCCGTTGCCATTTCCAATCCCATTGCCATTGCCGCCACCAGCCACAGCCAGGTTCCCACCATCTTGTCTCTGGCGATTCCGCTGCTGTCGCATATACACCAGTATCAACAAGGTCGCCGCCAACCCAACAATGATCAGTCCCTCCAGCACGCTCTCATCGATATCCAAGTCCAGATCATCATAGTAGCCGTCCTCGTGGTTATGGCGCTCATCCAACCCGCGCCCCGCCGACATCAGATCGTCCTCCTCGTCCTCACCCCGTTTGTACAGCTGAGCACGGTAATTGGCTTCCTCTTCTTCGTCATTTTCAATGAATGCGGCGATCCACTCCTTGAAGGTGCGGTGGGGCTTGGCTGCTGCATTTGGGGTTCGTGTCAACTACATCGAGCGGATTTCCCTATCGGGTCAAGTGGTGAGATCAAAACGTACCCTCTTCTTCTTGGATGGGATTGATATCCCCATTCGTAAGCCAATTCCAATACCCCCGCATCCGCAACTTCAACAAACTCAGCTTCACCGGCAAATAAGCCTCGGGGCTGGTCTCCAACGCCAGATCGTAGTACCGCTTCGCCATGTGGAAGTCCTGGTCGACCGCCACACCGTTCTCGTGCATCCACCCCAAATTCCAGTACGCTTGAGCGCTGTAGTGTGCTTCCGCGGCGGTGTGGTAGCAGGTCGAGGCCTTCTCGGCGTCCGCCGCGATGCCAGTACCACTAAGATAGTAGTCGCCCATCTTAATCAGGGAGTCAATGTTCGCTTGCTTGGCCGACCGCGTCCAGTAGATTAGAGCCAGCGCGGCGTTGCGGAGTAGGGCCGGTCGACTCTTCTTGGCTGCTCCCGGGAGGATCGAATCCAGCGAGACCAGCGAGCGCTGCTCATCCAGGAGGAACGCCACATTCGACTGCGCGTGCTCGTAGCCCTGCTCCGCCGCCATCATCGCGGGGATGAGCGCCCGCTCCTTGTCCCCGTTCTCATACGCCGTGTTGGCCTCCTCGAACGAAGAATGGATGGCCTCCGCTCGCTCCGCCACCATCTTGTAATACGAGGCCGCCATCGCGCAGTGCCGCTTGCGGCCGACCCCGTTGTTGGACAGTTCGGCGAGATAATAGAACGCCTCCATCGAACCCCATCGGGCCGCCAATTCAAAGTACTTAGTAGCGGTCGGGACGTCCCCTTGGTCCAAGAAAAGGGCGCCCAGTCTCGTCTCGGCCGCCGGAAAGTCCTGGTCCGCCGCCGACCGGAAGTACGAGGCCGCCCGGAAAGCGTCCGGCGTCACGCCATACCCATGCAGGTACATCAAGCCAAGTTCATGCTGGCATAGCGCGTCGCCGTTGGCCAGTCCCCGCCGGAACCAGCTGGACGCCGTCGCGAAATTCTGCTCCACGCCTTCCCCGCGCAGATACATCAGTCCAACATGACCCGCCGCCTTCGCCGCCAACTTCTCGATTCCCTGGGGGTGGTTTGGGTTCACGGAGCCATCTTGATTCCAATACCGCCGAGTGACCTGCTTGAAATACCGCATCGCCCGTCGGAAATTGCGCGGCAAGCCCCGCCCGCCCTCGTAGTACATCTTGCCCAGACTGAACGTGGCCTTCAGCTCGCCCTTGCGCGACATCAGATCCAGATACTCAAGGACATCCTCCAAATTCGCGTCGGCTCCCGAGTGCGCCGAATCTCGCAACCCCGCCGTCGACACACTGGCGCCCTCTCCGTAGACGCCACCTTCCTCGTCCGCCCACCGGTACGACTCACGGATCATACTCTGGCCGCCCGGCGGGCCGGACCGGAGATACGCGATCGCCTTGTCGGCCACCTGTTTGTAGTAATAGGTCGCCTGGTCGCAGTCGCGCGGGGCCCCGACGCCCTGATGGTGACGGTACGCCAGCGTCATCTCCGACCGGGTGTTGCCGGCCTCCGCCGCAAAGGTATGGTACAGGAGCGACTTGGCCTGGTCGCGCTCGACGGAGCCGCCCACGCCCGTGCCGTACATGAACCCCAGCATATACTGGGCGGTGCTGTTGCCCGTGGCAGACGCCAGTGCCTGGTACCAGTGGAAGGCCCGTTGGAAATCGCGCGAGTGCGTGAAGTTGCCGTAGAAGTTCATCTCCGCGAGCAGGAACATCGCGTCCGGGTTGTGCGCCTCCTCCGCGGCGATCGTGAGCTCGTGCACGGCTTTAGCGACATCCGGGTGAATCTTTTGCTTGGGAGCGTGGTAACCGTCCGACGATGAGCTCGGTGCGTTCATGAAGAGGATCCGGAAAGCTTCCTGGGCATAGTACCAGGCGTACCCCACCAGACCGGAGGGTTTCGTGTCCGGGGCGACGACGGAGAGTTTGGAGTCTCGGAGGATTCGAAGGGCATGTTCGACGCGTTCTGCTTACACCAAAGCAGTGTGGTTAGACACGGGTGATGGTTGCAGTAGGCGGTGATGATGAGGATAAGATGACAGATCAATCTCACCTTGGCCCAGTGGGAGTTGAGCGTCCTCAGACCGGCTTGAGGACTGGACGAATGGCGTCTGGGATTCATGTACAGCATCTATCGTGGAGAATAAATCATCGGTTTGATCATAACAGTCAACTAGGAAGGCTTGCAGCAGCAGGACTAGATATGGAAGTCAACAGGAGTCAGTCAGTGGCTATGGCTATCGCGTCATTGTCAAGCTCGGGACCAGCTCCGCCGCGGAGGTGTTAGAGAGCAGCAGAAGTACTCACGTAGCGCCAGTGGCAGGATTTGCCACAACCAGCGGTTTTTCATGTTGTCAGGGAGATTCTAGTAGAGGTGAGCAATGAGAGGCGCATGGCGACTCTGAGCTCACTTCCTGGTGGGTAATCGGCAACCAGTGATGATGACGATGATGATGGTGGTGATGATGATGATAGATGGGTTCTCCTCACGCTATCTCCGGCGCGCGGCAAGGCGGAAAGGAAAGCGGCCACCTGGCGTTTCCCCGACAGCACTGGCGCTCCGAAGTTCAGTCATCATCTCATCTAACTACCTGTACTACATTCTACTCCAGTTTATCTTCGGCTCAATGGGGATTTTTCACATTTTTTGGGTCTTTTTTATTAGGTCATAAGCTCTTCCAAATCAATGCCCCCCGTCCGCATTCGTATGTCCATGTACAGGGGCGTACAGGGGCAGAGCCGGGCCATTGATCGCAGTAAGAGCAGCAAATACACGCAGCAATTGAAAGCAACGAAAGAATCATCCTCCATGCAATTTCACGCGAAAAGAGACATTTCTCTGTAAACCCACTCATTCCTCATGATCAAGTCATGATGCATGAGCATAGTCTGGTCTAAACGCTTGGTATTTCAAATGCACACAAAAAAGGGAAACAAAACAAGGAAGCATGAAACCAGACCCACAAAACCCATTCGCAATTTTAGCAGGCTGGATTGGTTGTAGGAAAGCTAGTATTGAATAAGGGTAATAAACCTGCAGGCTGGTGTGCAAGAAGAAAAAGAACATACATTCAGAATGGGAATGGGAAAGAGAAGCAGGCTGCAAACGCCCAGATTTCGGCATGATATAACCAACCAATTCCGCAACATACAATGCAAGACGTTTTTTTCGTTTCTTTTCTCCCTTTCCAACTTGTCAGGATGAGGTGATAATACAATGATACAGCGAAAGTCGTAAGGAGACACGTCACGAAAGCTCGAACTTTACTGGCGTGGAGACCTGCATTGCAGATTAGTACCTTGTTGTACCCTGTCTGAGGGGGGAGACACTTACGTAGGGCTGAAAGCCGGCGACGTCGGGCTGTAGCCTGGGGAAGTAGGTCCACCAGGAGACGTCGGCGAGCCGGCAAAGTTGGGAGACGTTGGAGAGTACGTCTGAGGACTCGTGGGAGACCATCCAGGCGATGTTGGGGTGTACTTGGGAGAGGTGGGTGAGGTAGGTGACAGGTGTCGGGCACCACCAACGGCAGGACTGGTCGGGCTGTAGCTTGGAGAGGTAGGGCTGAACGCCGGCGACGCTGGACTGAAGCTGGGAGACGTAGGACTGTAGTTCGGGGACGTCGGCGAGAACCCAGGCGAGGTCGGCGAATAGGAAGGCGACGTAGGAGAGGCTTGCCCGTACGCCGGCGACGTAGGAGAGTAGGCCGGCGAAGTTGGGGCAAATGAAGGACTGGCCGGGGAGAATCCAGGAGATGTCATGAAGCGGGGGCTGGTCATAGCCATACCTGGAGAGGTAGGCGAGTAGCTCGACGTAGGAGAGTAACCAGGTGAAGTCGGGTTCGCGCTGAACGGACTGCTGGGGGAGTAGCCAGCTGGACTCGTGGCCGCCGGGCTGAAACCGCCTCCAAAGCCGCCACTGGGCTGGTATTCAGTGAAACCACCCGGGGTTTCGGCGCCTGCCTGACGAATTGGGGAGAAGTTCGATTCCGGATCGGGCGAGCCAATGTAGGCACTGGCCTGCATGGGCGAACCAGTATCATACTGCGTAGCAGCGCCATCCGAGAAGATCGCATCCTTGGCACCAACGGCTCCCATCACGCCGTGGCGGGCATTGTCTGACACCACGGTGTTGAGAAGGTTCTGGTCAAGGTAAATGTCGAACTCTCCAGTACCAGCAGGTGCCATCTGTCCCAGAATCAAGTTCTCCGACACACCACGGCAGTCATCGAGCTCACCGAAAGCGGCAGCCTCCAACAAAATTTCCACAGTCTCTTCGAACGAACAACGCATCAGAGCACCATTGTCAGCGCGGTTAATACCGTGACGGGTGACCGGAGTCAGATAACCGCGGACAGTCATAACATCAACCAGCAGCGCCAAGTGACGGTGGTTGACATAAGAGCCGTCGAACGCCAGCACCTGGGTCAACTCACGAAGCACAGCAGTACGAGCGGCCTCGATACCAAACACTTCGAAGACCTCAATGAACTGGTTGGAATATGTGCGAGAGGCGTCGACACCAGGGATTGCCAGAACCTCACCAAGTGACGAACCGCTGGTTTCAAGAACCCATTCCTTGCAGAGCGGGTCGGACTTGCTAGCAAAGAGCGAACCGTCTTCCAGGACGCGAACCTTGCTCTTCTCATTAATGAACGCTCGCTCCACTCCAGGAACACCACGGAGGGTCAGGGTGTCCAGAAGATGCTGCTCAAGTTTCTTGAGCGTGACATCGTATTCGATGTCGTCATCTTCCTCGTCTTCCTTGTAATCCTGGATCTGACGGATACGGATAACCTGCTCGTCTGCGTTGTTATCACTAAACAGAACAGCGATATCCTTGGGATAAGCGGCCTTAATCTTGGAGGCAACGTCCTGAACAGTAAGCCCCTTATCGAGAAGCTTAGGGCGACTGAGGATGATACGAAGCAACCACTTGGACTGACGGGACATGTCGTCCGTGACATCCTCGGGAATGATGAAGTAAGACTCCACCATATCCCGATCGTTTTCGATGACAGTGGTTTGAATGTCCGGATCATAGTAGATCTCGGTAGCCTCGGTGACGGATCGCAAGCTGGTATGCTCGACAGCACTACGAAGCTGCTTCGCACTCTCCTTGTTGAACGTGTTTCCGGCTTCCTGGTAGACCGTCATGGAAGGCGTCTTAATGTTGGTAGCAACATTCAAAATTTCCTTAAGACGCGGGACACCGAGGGTGACGTTCTTGGATGAAACACCAGCAAAATGGAAAGTGTTCAAAGTCATCTGCGTAGCAGGTTCACCAATAGACTGAGCCGCAAGCACACCAACCATCTCGCCAGGATTAGCACCAGCCTTGGCGAATCTCATCTCGATAGCTCCAATGACATGCTGGAACGCAAGTTTGTTCAGGGAGTACTCAGTGACCAGTCGTCTGAATGCAAGACGGCTGCGAAGCTGAGCCTTGAAGAGCATCGTCGCACTCTCTTGAGCCTCGCGCGAGATAACATCATCACCACGCACAACCAGCAGGCGATCCAGAAGAGCGCGAACCTGGGGAATGACTTCCGCGGGGTGCAGGTCACTAATGGCCCCATCACGGATCTTGAAGGTGGATCTAGCCGTCTCGAGAATACGTAGCACGTTGATCGGAAGTTGCATCATCTCATCGTCTTCCTTGGCCACGGTGCGCAAGAATGCACGATCCTTGAGAAGCTGTTCCCATTCTTCATCCAGATGTCTCTGGACTTCAACATCACCCGCAATCTCATTGGCTTGTTCCAAAACCTCCGGTCCGAGGCTCCGCTCAGGATCCATGAGATCCACGCGGAAACGATCGCGGAACTTGTCGTCCGAGCACCTGATGACATCGACACGTTGGTTTTCAATGTGGGCACCATCCAAACCATCCTCTCCATAGATGAACTGGATGATGTCACCCAGGGAGTTACGGACAGTACCATCGTACTTGACCATAACCTCTTCAAGCGCCTTGACCAGCTTACGCTGGATGTAACCGGTTTCAGCAGTCTTGACGGCAGTATCGATCAAACCCTCACGACCAGCCATAGCGTGGAAGAAGAACTCGGTCGGGGTCAACCCACGCAAGTAGGAATTCTCGACAAAACCACGAGACTCGGGAGAATAGTCATCCTTCGTGAAATGTGGCAAAGTCCGATACTTGAAACCAAAAGGAATACGCTTGCCCTCGACGGACTGTTGTCCCACAACAGCGGTCATCTGAGAAATGTTAATGGTTGAACCCTTGGATCCGGAACGAGCCATCTGAATGGCATTATTCAGATCCTTCAAACTCTTCTCCGTCTCGCTACCAGCTTCATCACGAGCATTGTTCAGAGCACGCGAGACTTTGCTCTCAAAAGTCTCACGGACGTTCATACCGGGTAGAGGCTCGAGCGTGTTGTCGGTGGCGCTGGCAGTGATTTCCTCAACCTCCTTCTTGCGGTTCTTCACACAGTTCTCGATGCGCTGAATTGTTAACTCGTCAGGAATGGTGTCACCAATACCGATACTGAAACCGTTGTGTAGCAACCAGTAGTTGACAATTCTTTGAGCACCGTTAAAGAAACCCACAGCAGCCCAAGGCCCGTTTTCGTTGAAAATGGTGTGGATGACACCGCCACCGCTGGCTCCGACAGTCTTCTTGGAAAACATACCATACATCAACTGTCCTCCGTGGATGAGGAGACCACCATCAGCCAAGGGAGAGAATTTCTCCGCCAATGGCGAGCTGTCCTTGTCCACGCGTAGAAGGTTCAGGCCAGGAGGCAGGGCCATACTGATCATCTGCTTTCCAGTCCACCGGGGTCTGGGTTTCAAGATAGCTGGGGGAGGAATAACACCATCCCAGTCGGGCACCCACATCATCAGATTCATGACCTGATCCTTCGTCAGGAAGACATCACGTCGGCAAATCTTATAAATACCGCAAAGAGTATCCTGCACGATACCCATAAGTGGGCCGTTTCGCTGGGGGGAAACAATATTCATCGGCACCAGTGCGAGCTGGCTGAGCTCGGCGCGCGATTCCTCAGATTGCGGGACGTGCAAGTTCATTTCATCACCATCGAAATCAGCGTTGTAGGGGGACGTCACAGACAAGTTCATGCGGAAAGTCGAATACGGCATGACACGAACGCGGTGACCCATCATGGATTCCTTGTGCAGAGATGGCTGACGGTTGAAAAGAATCACATCACCATCCATAAGATGGCGTTCCACCTTCCACCCATACAACAACTGCTGACCTCCCGCTCTCCGAGCATGGCGAAGATCAATGCGTTCGCCATTGTCTCTAACGATATACCTGGCTCCAGGGTGCTCGTTCGGCCCGTTCTGTACAAGCTGCTGCAGTTTCTCGATGTTGTATGGGGTCACGACCTCCGGGTATGTCAATGTCTTTGCAATACTCTTCGGCACACCGACCTCTTCGAGTGACAGGTTCGGATCACCGGTAATGACGGTACGGGCAGAGAAGTCGACACGCTTGCCCATCAAATTCTGTCTAAGACGACCTTCTTTACCCTTTAGACGACTGCGGATAGCCTTGACTGGACGGTTGGACTTCTGCATGGCCTTCGGCTGACCCGCAATATCGTTGTCCATGTAGGTGGCGACGTGATACTGCAAGAGAGACTCGAATTCGCGCACCACGTGCTCGGGAGCACCTTCTTGCTCACAGCGTTGAACATTCTGGTTCGCTCGAACGATTTCAGCAAGCTTGTAAGTCAAGTCATCCTCACCGCGCTGGCCACTGGTGCTACCGCCGACAAGCACACTAGGACGGACCGGCGGAGGGGGGACTGGAAGGACTGTGATAATCATCCACTCAGGACGAGCATAATCGTTGCTCAAGCCCATGATGCGGGTATCTTCGTGGGTGATGCTGCGAAAGACATTCAGAGCCATTAGAGGGGTAATGGTCTTCTTCTCGGGTTGTTGCATATCCATCTCGTCCATCATCTTGTTGGGCTTCCAAGTGCCGACGAGCGTGATACCCTCCTTGCGAATGGTAGGCTGCGCGTTACCACATCCACCATGCATCCGCGAAGGCTTGGAGCTCTCTTTCGAGAAAGGATCCTCATCATCCGGAGGAGGGTCGGCTTCGCAGATCAGCACATCTTTGGAGAGGCGCCAGATGGCATCGAATCGTTTCTTGGGGTCCCTCATGCGCAGGGCTTCTAGAAACTTAGAATCGGACTGGTGTCTCAAGTTAGCAAAACCGCCGTAGTAGATTTGCCATCCCTAAAGGGATGACTAACCGTATTGGCCTTGATCTTGCCACAGTTGTGGCAGACCGTCTCAAGGAGCTTCTTGATTTTAGTCAAGAAACCTGAAAGACGCAAAAGCGAAGAGTTAGTATGCGCAGCCTTTGATATGGGTTGTAGTGTTTGCCGGTCAACATACCAATATGATAAACGGGAGTCGCCAGCTCGATGTGCCCGAAGTGCCCGGGGCATTCTTTTTGACCTTCCTCGCAAGTCTCGCAGTTCCATTGTCGGTCGATCGTTCCGAGGCGGGGGTCGTTCAAGCCCTTCGTGCGCGGACGTTGCCGTTGTTCATCCTGTTGGGAAGTGTTTCCCGCGTTAGCGCCACCCGCTGCCGCTTCGTGCTTTGAAGGAACACCGAGAAGAACAAACCATCGTCTCCGGGTATTCAACATGAACCACGCTCATCCGTTTGATCTCCTCCGGGGAGAAGAGACCAAACTGAATTTCTTTGATGGTGCGCAAAGGCGCCTTGGAATATGGGAAGTAAACGTTCGCCATGATGACAGTTGTCGCGGTGAGGTGTTCTTTTAATAAGCGGTGCGTTGCGTCAGTCGGTCAATGGGGGTTCGAGACGTGGTGGTCGCGCAAAGACGTGAGGGGGGCGAAGTCGTAGAAATAAAGGAAGCTGTGCTTGCAGCCTTTCTCGACAGAGATACGGCGATGATGAGAGGGACGTTGAGGGAGGAGGAAGGAGGAGGAGAAAGCGAGCTGGCCGGCTGAGGCCTCTGGCAGCCCTTGCCACGAGGGCGCCTGCGACCTAGATCCACCGACTGTGCGAAGGCTCGAAAAAGGGCGAGGAGGAGAGGAACGCGATCGTGCTTGGCGATATCTCAGTGGCGTATAAGTGATATCGCGACGCAAAACGCGATGGTCGTGGGGGTGGATGTGATGGAGGGAGGGCGTGTCGAGGTGATGGAAGGGAGATGAATGGACGTCAGGTTAGTCGGCAATGGGGCAACGAGTTTTCTGAGCCGCACCTCGTCGCGCTAACTCACCCGGCTTTATAACTCATTCAAACTAAACCCAGGAAGTGAGGTGGTGGCCAACCAGCTTGCTTACTGTTGCTTACTGTGAAAGAAAAGTGGAGTCAGCCGCCCTCGCTTCAAAGGACCCTTTCTCACCGCCCGCCACCCGCCGTCTATCTTTCTGCTGTTTTGCTGCCTCTTCCACTTGAAATACGAATATAAAAGATCTCGATCGCTCCCCTCCCTCTCCCCTCTCCTCCCCGCTTGCTTGGTGAATAATAATTAGCAACCTTGGCAATCCTGCATGGTCACTTTCGCAATCTTCTCCCGGCCTTTCTCTGCAGGCTGGGATCGCTTCTCATATTCTCCTTGCATGACGCTCTAGATACCATCTTTGGTCTCTGAGCCGCGCCTCGGTCGTTCCACACTACGTACGCTATGAATTTGTCTCTCATTGATCCCTTTGTCCTCGCCCAGGACTATCCAGACACGTTATCGGAAAAACTTAGTATGTTTCGCTCTGGGTATTACTTCTCGATTCTAGCGCTGACTTTTACAGGAAGCGGCCATGCTACGTGTCTGCGATTTAACCGCAAGGGAGATTATTTGGCATCCGGTCGGGTTGGTCTTCATCACAATCATACCGCAAGTCGCGTGTTTCTTTCAAACCATAATAGTAATCTTCGGCCTTAGGTGGACGGTACGGTGGTGATTTTTGACGTGGAAACCAATGGGGTAGCACGCAAGCTACGCGGTCATACCAGACAGATCCAATCGCTGAGGTACGTAACGTTTCTCGTCTGCGCGGTTTGGACAAAATGAACTAATTTGATTGGGAGTACTTAGTTGGTCGAGAGACGGTAGATATCTTTTAAGCTCCTCTCAGGACTGGAAATGTATCTTGTGGGATCTGAAAGATGGTTCCCGAGTTCGCACCGTTCGCTTCGAGGCGCCTGTATATATCGCCGAACTTCATCCTTATAACCAGTACGAGACTCCTCGGTCAATCCATATCGCATTGTTCACTAATAGCTTTGTTCATGCAGTTTGCTCTTTGTCGCCTCTCTGTTCGAGGATCAGCCCGTTCTTGTCGATGTCTCCTCCTCCAAACCTGTCAAGCGCATTCTCCCTTCTGCGCCTTTCCGTCCACCTCCCGCTAAAGGCGAGGAGCTCGACGCCGCGGCTGCTGCTAAACAAGCTGCACAAGATGCGAAGCACTCGACCTGTGTGACCATCTTCACCGCCCTAGGAAACCATATAATAGCAGGCACGTCGAAGGGCTGGATCAACATCATAGAGACCCAGACGTGCACCACTATCCATTCTACTCGTCTGTGCAATGGAGTAGTGATTCTACTTCGTCTAGCAAGTAATGGCAGGGACCTGTTGGTGAACAGCTCCGATCGCGTCATACGCACGATTCTCATGCCGGACCTCTCGCAGCTCGGTATTGATTTAGAGCCCAGCAACATCAAGCTCCAGGTGGAACATAAGTTTCAGGATGTAGTCAATCGACTGAGCTGGAACCACGTCACTTTCTCCTCGACTGGTGAATTTGTGACGGCATCCACATTCATGAACCCCGACATCTACGTATGGGAACGGAGTCACGGGTCTTTGGTCAAGATCCTGGAGGGTCCCCGGGAGGAGCTGGGGGTGGTGGAGTGGCATCCTGGTCGCCCGATGGTTGTAGCTTGTGGTCTGGAATCCGGTTGCATCTATACTTGGTCAATAGTGACTCCCCAGAAATGGTCAGCGCTGGCGCCTGATTTTGGTGAGGTCGAAGAGAATGTGGAATACGTCGAACGCGAAGACGAGTTCGACATTCACCCAGCAGAAGAAATCCACCAACGTCGTCTCGATCAGGAAGACGAAGTTCCCGATGTGCTCACCATTGAGCCTATTAAAACCGGCACTGACGAGGAGGAAATCACATCGTTCCGGATGCCTGTCCTGCTCGACATCTCCGATAGCGAAAGCGAAGAAGAGATCGTAGCTGTCGGCCCAGGCACAATGAGGCGACGCAGTCCGGGTGCAGGTCGAGAATGGATGAACGCGAATAGTGAGGGAGAGAAGGAAAGCACTGCAAGCGGTAAAAATGGTACTGCACGAGGTCAAAAAGGCCGGCGGCGCTGACCATCCCACCTTGCGCTCCTATTCCCTTGTGTCGCATACCATGCCATGGATTCGTAGGTCACTTTTGTTTGTGCTTCACTATATCATAGCATGTCAGCTAGGTTTTTCTTTGAAGACCGCTGGGCGTTTGGCGAAAAAGCAAGGATCTGGCACTCGGTATACTTACGGAGTTGATTGAGGGGAGTTTCTGGGTTGAAAGAAAGAAGACTTGATAAGCTCCTCACAGAGAAATGGGTCATCGTTCCCTTGGATGCCTTTCTTCCTTAATTGCCAAGAACATGATTCAGAAAGTGCTCCGCATGGTTGCGGCTCCTAGCTTTGTCCAGGGGTTCTCGTAATCAAAATTGAAGTATTTCCTTCAATGCTTGGACCAGTGGGTGTCGGTAGACTATTCCGTGAATATTCTACAGACGCTCGGACCCTCAAATCGGCCACGGGCATGACCCATAGAACTCGCATCACACTAGCATCCATAATGGATGCGAGACATTCATCAGGCCTTTGGCCTTTCCTTGTCTAAGATCCCGGGCTGCAGCGGCATCCATTGGAAGATGTCACGGAAAGACTCTCGGCAGGTATGCTGCCAAAGGATTTGATGTGTTGCACCGCCTCTGCGAGCCGGAAATGCAGGTAGGATAGATCTTCCTTGCATTGTGCATTGATCCTAGGGATGCATTCCGTTCCGTTGGCAATTGAACAGGGACCAACACGGGGCGCAACCGAAATACTGTATTGATGAGCCGCTCACGAACTTCATTGCGAGGCTGAGAGACAGTCTGATGCTGTCAAGTCAACCACCCCAATTGCGCTGCAGAGATGCATGCCCACACAGGCCGGGAGATGCAGGGAAAGGACGGGCCAATACATGACTCTACTACAACACCCCGCAAAGGAGAAGAGAACAGAGATGCCGTAGGCGGTGTCATACACCGCCGTCCATGTCGAGAACCGCACGCAAGATTCAAGATCGGCGTACGTTATTTGAGCCAGTCCTGCATTGGCCATCAACACAGCAATGTCAATTGGGGAGGGGCTTTCGCGCTTGGTAGATATGTAAGAGGTTCCAAGCATGGATGTCTGGGTTAAAGGCTTCGGATTTCACCTCCTCGGAGATGCGCCTGATCTTTTCCACCGGCCATTGAAAGACACGGCTGAATGGTGCCAGACTGAGAGACTCAATACTCTCCGAGATTGCCAGATTGTACCACCGGGCGACCTTGCTCTCGTGCTTATCAGGGATCCAAGGGTTTAGCGGTAGGCCCACGATTTGATGGTTGATTTGCGTAAAACCGGCTTCCTCGAGTTGCTTAATTGTCTCGTGAGAATTGTGTGCGATTGGACGCATCGTATCCTGTGTTGCTTGCTTCAGGTATTGATACCAGTGCCACATAGCCAATTTCTCCAAAGGACGGTTGTTGCAGCGTGGTTCAAAATCGATCTCCACCTGCTCGAACCAAGCGCCCGGTGCAAGGTGGGCGAAGATCTTCTGATAGAGGTTTGGCCAGCCCACAACGCTGCCACAGCCCATTTGCAGATGAATTAGGTCCCAGGATTCCTCACCCATGGCCCAGGGACTCTCAAAATCGAATGGTGCAAAGAAATGACAGTTTTCAGGATGATTGTCAGGCTGTATTTGCGCAAGGTCAACTCCAACCACATGGGCCTTCGGATACTTATGTGCCACATCAATGGCCCAGATACCCGTTCCGCAGCCCAGGTCTAAAAACCGTCCATTCGGCGGGTGCGGGGCGTAAATCAAACCGTCCGACTTTCGCGCTTCCGTGAACAGCTTGTGGAAGATGTCGAGGCGGTCCTGCTCCTGCTCATCGCATGGTAACATGTAGACTCCTTTCCGGAAACCATGATACATTCTGCCATTTTCTTCATAGGGGGGGTAGTTCTGTGAGAGCCTAGACCACAGAGAGCCACGGAATGACCGTGCTCGGAGATTAGTCACTTAATTGTGGCAGATTTTCAATCAGATTGGAAGAAGGAATGGGGAGCTTTACTTGCTGAAAGTACTACTCATGCTCGGAGACCCATTGCGGTTGGCAGCATCACTATCGCCGGCACTATGCTCTAGATTTTCGCGGTCTGTGATGCCGTAAATCTCCATAACATCTGAGTTTTGCCTAGAGCGAGCTATCTCAGCGGGGTCCGTTGCTGGAGAAGTATAATAGTTGCGAGTAGGCGATGCCATAGTGGTCGAATGGTGTACAGCCTGTTCGTTCCCGAATATTCAGGTAGACCGAATAGGCTGTAGAGGCCAGGAGAGGGAAGATCGTCAGAAGGAGGCCTCTCTCAGTTGGTGCAGACGGCGTACGAGTGAGTTGCACGCAGAGAATCCTGGTTAGGGGCAGCAACGGCCAAGAACAGCTGATGTTAACCCACCAATTGTATGTGGACTGGAAGTAGAAAATATAGTTCGACGGTCAGAGTGTACATAGGGTAGTAATGAGGAAGATCAAAGCAGGTAAAAATTGATCTCAGAGTATACAGATCCACCAAAGAGGGGCAGAGCGGGCGGTAGGCCGTTCGTTGACCGAAATGAATAACAAGAGATTGGAAAGGGTGAGGAAATTGTGCAAGGCAGGAAATGTAAAGGAAAATTTGACTAGGGAAAAATGACAGAAGGCTAGCAGAATCTCCAACATCCAGTCCCACAGCAGGCACACACGCACATGCGGGGATCAATTGATTTGCAATCGATTCTATTTGATCTGGACCAACAGAACGAGACCAAAGAGGAAAATGATGTCTCTGATGGAGTCCCCGCGTAGTTAGGCTGAAGGTTCGTCGAGGAACACCACAACCTGAAGAAGAGAAGGAGGACGAGGAGGACGAGGAGGACGAGGAGGACGAGGAGGACGAGGAGGATGACGATGGACAATCGAGGAACAATGAGAATGAGAATAAGAATAAGAATGGCGGTCACGGGGCCCTTTGGTATGGTATGAAAGTCGAGGACCGTCACTAATCTCTGTCCGTCCGAAGCCACTAACTGTGGGATTTAAAGGACCAAACTGTCCCGAGCGGGATCAATTGTAACGAGCTGGGGGGGAGGGAAAGGGAAAGGAGGAGAAGCTCAAGAATACTCAAGAGACGGAAGAACGGGGGTCAAGAAGTAGTAAAAAGCAAAGAGAGGAGGTGGAAACGGCAAAGGGAAAAGGAAACAGAACGCAACACAACACAACACAACACAACAGATCCGACCAGATCAGATCAGAGCAGGAAAAGAGTTGACGATGGAGATGAGGATGAAAGGGAAAAGGCCGAAGCAAGCAACAACCCTGGCTTTAAGGTTGTTACAGCCGCTGTCTTGTCATTCCCGTTGGGCCCACGGGCGCGAAGGCGGGGGGGAGGGAGGGAGTGCGCGCGGTTGCAGTGGAAAGCCTGAGAATCGCTAGAATGATTTCAGATGTTAGGGCGACATACGATGAATCATTCGTTTGTTTAATTCTGCTGGATAGCCGTTGCAGGAGAGAGGCTTAGTATCAATCCATACAGCAAGTAAGAAGAAGAAGAGTACTATAACTAAGTAGCTGTACTATGATGCTGGTATGTAAGGTATGGAGTAGTTACTTAGTAACAGTAACTTATAGTAAGTTGTGTATGTGTGTCTGTACAGTGCTTACTTAGTACGTCGATATCTAACTTAGCACTCAGTCAGTCACTAACCAGAATCGACTCCGAACCGAGAAGAACGATCCATGATGGATAATGGGGTGAGGATGTGTCGGGGCTGGCCATGACTAAGGAGGAACCTCCAGCATTCATTGGTTATTCCCCAGAGTAAAGCCCCTCTATCAACCATGGTACAGGGGCTGCTCTAGTAGTTATGGGACCCGGAGAGCTTTTTTTCTTTTTTGCAAGTAAACGAGATGGACTAGTTAGATCATGGATACCTTAGAAACCACTTTGCTACGAGTATATATACTTACACTTTGGAGGCTCAGCTGTGGGTAAGCCGAGGACAATCAGCCTTAGACTACACCTTATGATCACCATCATTATCACCATCATCATTACCACCACCACCACCTTCATCTTCATCATGCTCATAAGGGTAGAAACACTACCGAGGAGTCGGGCCCGGCTCGATCTTAATTTCTCCTAGATGCACGAGGCAATCATCTTGATGGGATATGCACACGGTCCTGGCAGTGTACCATGCTCGCATGTGTATTGGCCATACCGACTCAACGGCACCAACTAACATACTTTTTCAAGGCCCTGCCACACCACATGCTGGTCATTCTGGTTCCCTTTCCAGCATAGACGCTGAACCCACTGTTTTTAGGCGGATCTTTTAGCGCCTGCTTCTTTTACCATTTTTATCCATGCCCCTCTCTTTGATAATTTGGTTAGTTTCTTTATTTCTTTTTTTTTTCTCTTTTTTTCTTTTTTTCTTCCTTCTTTTCTTTTTTTTTTTCCTTTTCCCCCCTTGGAGCATCTGTACGAGAAAAAGAAAAATCTATCTCGGCGACTATAAGATACACATACTTCCAAACCTACGCGAACCACATTGTCCGCGCCCTACATCAACAGCCAAGGACAAACATTCCACAAAGCATTTCGCGCCAGGTGTTGGTGACAGGGCGGTTTCGGGTCAAGTGGTGTGAGTGGTAGCATGTAACGGCCAAGCTCGATCTATCTAGCTACGATGTGAGCATACTCGGCGGAGAATTCAGCCCCCGTCCTTCCTGATATCACCAGTAGACTAGCGCGGGATTATTGAAGGTGTACCATGGTTTGGGGGAAGCGTTCCCAACGGCCGCCATAGAAGTATAACATTGGGGGATGAAATGGAGTGGGAAACAAAGAAAGGGGGAAGAAATCAAAAGAGAGAGAGCCGGAAAGAGAACATTAAAAGAGAAAAGAAGAAACTGGAGAATAAAAAAAAAAAAAAAAAAAAAAAAAAAAAAAAAGAGAAACACAAAAACAACAACAACAAAAAAAGAAAAGAAAGAAAAAAAAAATAAATGATGGGAAAAGGTTACCCAGGGCCGAAGGGAAGCATGGGCAGATAGATGGATGGATTCAGACTCTCTCAGAGATGGAT